CTTCTCATTTTGTTATACTTATCTCTAGATACATATTCCTTCTCTTTCTCTTCCTTATTATTTTTTTCAGAACGTATTGTTGTATCATTCTTACCACCTGATTAATACAATTAATCAATGACTTATTTTGAACGATTATATCTCTCCAACAATCTTGAAAAGTCTTTCTCAATCTTTTCTGTTTGTCCATCCCTTTAATTCATTTTTAATATTCAAATTTATTAACTGATTTAAATTATGTAAAATAAGCAATTACTAAAAACTGTTTGCTTTTATCTAATACATACTTTTCTTCTTTTTATAATCTAAATTCATAAATTACTCTTGTTTTATTAAATATAAACTGCTTTTTATTTAAAAGCTTTCTTATCTTTCATAATAATTGATTTAAAAATAGAAAAAATCAATATTATAAATTTAATATATTAAATAATAATTCTGTTATATCTGTTATCTTTATTACAAAATTATTTTATTAAGAAATAAAAATGAATATCAAATCTTTATTTTTCATTCATGTTCCTCTTATTTTGAATAATATTCTTGATTATATTGTTAAAATGAAAATGCTTAGCTTTGTTCCTTTGATAAAGAATTTTATAATTGTTATTTCAATAACTTATCTGTGTTTAGCTAAAGTTATGTTTGCATCTCAATATTTTACTCTCTTAAATATTGGTTTTCAAGTTCTAATTGCTAAAATTTATCCTTCATATCATTTAATTCTTCAATCAGATCTGGCTTTTATACTACTTATAAATCTTAAGAATCACTCGATTTCCTACTTTTTATTTATTGATATTCTATTTCATTCTTAAAATTTTTATATCGTAATTTCCATTTTTATTTTTTCTCTTAAATATTATTATACTATTTGATTTATTCTTATATATTTTTGTTTTTTTCTGTTTATTATTATATTTGATTTTACAAAACATTGTATTCTTTTTCTAAACTTTTAATTTTTTCATCCTTCTAAACACCTTGCATTTAGGATTCAACCAATTTTTAATAAATAGAATGCCTTTCTTCTTTTATTTCCTAATAGCTATCTTATATAATTTTATATTGCAATTTTATTTCTAATAGTTGTTACTTCATTGATTCATTTTACTCTTATTATTTTTTTATTTAAGCCCCTAAAATGTTTTCGTATTCAGAATTTTTTTCAAAGAATTTGAATTTATGATGCTCTAAACTCTTGTTTTTCTATCTGCTTTTAATAAATAATTACTTTTAATTGTACTATAATTTTTATATTTCCTGCCATTAGCTCATTGCTTAAATTTCCTGTTTTAATAATAGATTTTCCCTTTCACAATCATGCAAAACTGCTGATTTTCTCATATATTAATTATTTAAATCATCTAATTATAATTCTAGTAATTTTCTTTGCTAATTTGCTCTATGTAATTCCTATTCAAGTTGATTACATTTTATTATTTGATCTGTATTACATCTAAAAGGAGATTTTGAAGTACATGGCTCTTAAAATGAAGCTCGAGTTCCTTTAGAAGTATTTAAAGTGAGATTGAACTTTTTTTTTAACGGACTAGAATACATTTTATAATAATTTACATAACCTAATTCTTCATTTTATTATTTTTCAATCATTGTTCCTTTCTCTTTATAAACTCCTCTTTCTTTATCAAAGATAGAAAGATTTATTTTGAGTTTCTTGCATTTTTTTTTTCAACCTTTTCAAATATCAAATATATTATTTGGATAATTATTCTAATGACAAAATTTTGAAATTTACTAATTTATTTCAGATTTCATTGATTATTTATATTAAAATCAACACTCTATATCGAAAAAATTTTATGAATCGTCAATATTCTCAATTAGATAAAAGTTAATTTTAATCTCGATTTAAAATTTAATAAATAATTTTATTCTATTCTTATAAGTTTTAATATTGTTATAATGATTGTTGTCTTATTAAGAGTGTAATTTTGACCTTTTAGAAAATAATTATAATTTTTTATTAAATAATTGTACTATATAATTATTAAAACTAAGAACCATTTTCATTTTAAACCAAAAATTATTGATAATCTTAATTTGAAATTGAAAAATACATGTAATATATTAAATCGAATTCAAAACTATAATATTTCTACTAATTGAAAATTGAAATCTCATTAGATTATTCTATTTTCTAGAAGTAATTTTAAATTACATAGGATAAAGATTAAGGTTGTTTATTAATTTTACAATTTCTAATTAATTAAAGTAATTTTTTTTAGATTTAAACTGCTTAATATATATTGAATCAGTGAAAAAATGAATAACTTTTAATAATTAATTATATTAATTACGAAAAATAAAAAAAATTAAAATCATTATAAGTTAGTTCTATTCAAGGATCGATTTCAATGCTTTTCTCAGTTATTTAATTTAAACTGCTAGAAGGTTAGAGATGCATTCTCTTGATTCTTCTTAGAGTCTTTAATTTTTAAGATACTTAAGTTACTGCATCTCTTTTGTCTACAAACTTGTCATTAACATCTTGATGAATAATTATCAATTTAAGTATTGATTTTTCCTCTTTTACAATATGCTTTTATTCATAAAGAGTTTGCACATATTTGAGAGCTGTTTAGAAATAGGTTTGCGTCATCTTTGAAATTGATTTTTATATTAAGTAATTTTAAATTATATCAAATTAAGTTAAAAGGGGATTATAATTATTGTTTATTTTTCGAAAATTAATCGATTTTGGATATATACTATGAATTTAATGATGCGTATTAATTTTATGTTATTTATATTAAGATGCGTAATATTGAGTATGTTGGTGAAAAATATTTATGTATGGTAAGAATTCTAGAAGCTTTTATAATATACTAAATAAGTTATAATTGGTTTATATTTGGTTTTGGAGAAAATATATACACAAAACTCACAGATAAATATTTTTAAAAAGTTCTCTCAAATCAATTCTTCATCAGTCTCTTCATCTATAATAATAAGCTAGCCTTGTTTGAGTGTTAAATCTCTTCTGTGTTTTTTAATTAATTATAAAAAAAAGAAAGAGAGTTATTCTGCACTAATTGTAGAAGGAATTTTAAATTCATTCCTAACTATTAGATCTTTAAGTATAAGTTTCTCTTCTTCATTAACAAGTTAAAGTTCACTTAAAGAGCGCAAAGTTTAAAAACACATTCTATAAAAGGATTCATTCATCATTTTATGAATAATAATATTAATAAGCTGATTTTATTTAAAGTGCTGAATTTAAATTAATATAGCCAACTCTTTATAAATATTTCTATTTTTAATTAATAGAAAAAGAATACTCTCAGTATTAATAATGGTTCAAGTATCCATATTTGATTTTACGCTTAATCAATAATGTAAATAATTAATTCTTTGATTGTTTAGTAATAGATGAAATAGATCAAAAAATAAACATTCTGGAAGCATTAAATTAGTATTTTGTGAAATGAAGAAAATGTGGAAGTAATTTCTAAAATTGAAAACTTTAAAAGAAATCATAATGGTTTAATCCATTTAATTAAATTTTAAAGTGTTGATTTCCCCTTCCATTTTGATTGATATTCTAAGAAGAGAGTAATTAGAAGAGTTATTGCTATGGAGAGCTAATTTATTAAGAAATGATTTATATTTTAATATTATTTTAGCAAATAAACTGAAATTAGAATGAACTTATTTGTTTAAAATCTATGTATTTAAATAATTATAAAATGAAATCTTTTTAGAGTTCAAAACTTAAAATTATTAATAAAAGAATAAATTCAAGATCCTAAAATAATATTTTTAAACATTTCCATTCTAAGATTGCTTCTTTCTTCTGTTCTAATACTTGATTCAAAAAGTTATTTTTTAACATCATGTAACCTAATCATTCTTTCTTCAACAGTTTATTTACAAATTAATCTATAAACATGTGTTTCTTTATTTTAACCAATTCTATAAACTCTCTCTATAGCTTATTCTTCAACAGCAGGATTCCTTAATAATTAATTAACAAATATACCACCAAGGATCAATCATAATAACATGATTAGCTGCAGTTAAATTTAATCCTACCCCACCAGCTTTTAGAGAAATAATAAATATTCTATACTCGTCTTATTCTTTAAACATTCTTAAAACTTTAGCTCTATCTTACTAAGTCATGCTTCCATCTAATCTCTAAAAATAAATTAATATTTTACTAAATGTTTAATTTCTTAATTATCAAGATCAAATTCAATCATTTATATCATACCAATAAATTGTGTAAAAATAACACATTTCTCATTTTTTGGAATTGCGTTTAAAATTTCCATAACTTTATCAATTTTACTAGATCTTTTATATTTTTCTTTCCAATTTAAACTAAATGAACTTTCTCTTGGTAAAGTCATCGTGTCTTACTTGGTAATATATTTTCTACAATAAGGACATTCACTAGAATTGGCTAAAATACCATGTAAACACAATCTGCATAGGAAATGTAAACAAATAGTTACAATAGCATCTTCAACTTATTCCAAACATACAGGACATGGTGGAATATCATTATCTTTAACTCTTCTAATAATCTCTTATTTATATTATTATTAATCTTAACATATCTGAACTTATTAATTATTCATTAATAGTTCTTCTTAATCTTCTCTATCTAATGCTTGATTACTAAGAAATTTATCTATTTGTTCTTCAAGTTAATCAATATTTTTTACATCACTTCTAGATGTAATTAATAAAGGATGATCACAAATTTATCTTAATCTAATTAGTATTTCAAAAACTTTCATATATTATGACATTAAAATCCCTTTTTCTAAATAACCTACAACTTCTTCTTAAGATTTCTTTTCCATCCTATCATAAACCATTCTCTCATCCTTTTTTAATTCTATATATTCGAAATGTATTTCTTTATTTGGTAAACTAATAATTGGTTTTCCATTTTAATCTTTACTTTTCTTTGTTCTTCTTAAAAGAATTGGTCTGAGTATAGAATTAAGAAGTGGGAATATATTTTCCTTACCTTCCTCATGTGGTTTATTTATATATGCATTCCACCAAAGATAATCTGACCATGGTTCTAATTTAATAAAATGAATTAAACTAAACATATCATTTAGATTATTTTAAATAGGTGTTCCAGTTGAACACCATTTATAATAACAATCTAATTCATATGCTCCTTATGCAAGTAATGTTGTTCTACCTTTTATATAATGTGCTTCATCTAAAATTACTCTATACCAATTATAATTATAAATTGAATATGGATCTTTAGAAGGTTTCTTAAATTCAACACTTACTGTATGATATGAACTAACAACGATATCAAATTAACATAAATCTGTTTAATTTCTATCAGCACCTGTATATTAAAATATTTTTAAAATTTAACTACAGTGATAATTCAATTCATCTTGCCATTATTATAATAAACTAACTGGAACTATTATTAAAGTCTTAGCCCATTTCTTTTTTTTATATCCTACGTAATCCCCTATTAATTTCTTACCACTTTAACTCTAATTCTTTTTACTTATTTTATTATAATAATCTGTAGGAATTTTAAATGGATTTGCTAAAATTAATGATATTAACATCACTGTTTTACCCAAACCCATTTCATCTGCTAAAATTCCTCCATTACATCTTTTAGATGAGGATGGAAAATCCAAAGATGATTAACCAGAAAATGGATTAAAATATAATTTTAAACCTTAAGTAGTTTAATATTCTTTCCATAAAGGATGTAAAGCATTTTAAGAGCTTTCATCCTCTACTTTTATGACTCCTTCTCTTTATAGTAACCATGTTAATGCTTATTTTTAATAATCAAAAAGTTTAGAACCTAATTATTTTGGTCCATCATGCATTTCTAATTCATGATGAGTACAATTATTAAAACCCAAAAATTTATCACAATCTACTTATACATTATTCTGATCTTCTGGCCTCTCCTTCTCTATTTCAACTTTCATCATTTAACTTTAATCTTATGGATTACTTTTTAATTTAAAATCATTTAAAGATAATTATTTTGGTTTTTATTTAAAAGGATCTTCCTAATATGTTACAGCTGATTTACTTAAAGCATTATTATTACTATTTTCTTTAATCTCAATATTATTGCTTTCTATTTTTTTCTTATCAATTACATCAACTTTTGTTGAAGTTATCAATTTGCAATTTACTAAATCATATAACTTCTAAAAGTTTTCACTATACTTAACAAACTCTTACACAGAATCATCAAATTAATCACTTGTTCCATCAGATAATGCCTTTTCATTTAAAAATACATCAATTTATAGTAATATTAAATCATGAGTCTTACATAAAATTTAAGATTGAACATGGCATGCTATTAATTTTATATAATTCTCTTATAACAAAGGAGTAAATAAATCTTCATATTCTGAATTCAATCTACCTATCTAATATGATTATGTTAACTTACTTCTCTATCATTATGTAATATTCTTATTATATTTTAGCCTTTTATTTTATTTGATTTCTTTCCTTTATCAATTACTTTACAAGTTCCATCCAACATTATTTAAATAGGTTATTATTAAACATCTTTCAAATTTTAATTTCCTAAAGCATAAGCCTTCACTTTAGCACTTCCTATAAAAAGAGGAAAAGAAATGCCACGACTTATTGTTGTTTCTAGTGAATTCAGTTTTTACTCAGAATTTAAATTTTTCTATCTTTTATTATCTGAATCAATTCCTTTACATTCCCCTTCTTCTTATATTTTCTCATTCTATTCTTTAGCCTTTTTCTATTTTTTTTTTTATTTTTATTGTTAATTCTAAAATTATGTGTTTTATTATTCATCCTCTTATTATTATTATTTCAACAGTTCTGAACTTTATCTGAATTTAACTTGTCTTTTTTCTTAAGCATATTAAATTGCAATCTCTTCAATATCATTTGTTTATTAAAAATCTAAATTTCCAGAAGGTTTACTAAATACTATCTATTGATCTAAACATTATTCTATAGGTTTTTAATATTCTTAATTCAAGTCTTTTAAAATCTTCTCTAACTATTATTGCTTCTTAGCTCCCTCCATTAATTTAACAGTAGCTGCAGTCGGCTACTATCTCTTCTTTCTCTCTTCAGCTTAGTAATAGTAATTTAATGCTAATTCTATATCGTTTTTTCCATATCTTAAATATTATTTTGCCTTCTCTTCATTCAACTATCCTCCAGATATTGCTATAATTTATTATACAAGTTCTTCCATTTTATACTATAAATTTAAGAATATTAATTTATTATTTAGAGGGAAAACTTAAAAATTTAATTTTAAAATTAAATCAGACACTCTTTAATATAAACACAACACTTTGATGTTAAAATTTTTAATTATATGATTAATTTAACACTATCCATATTTAATTTGTTTAGTATCAATAATAGTAATACAGAAAACTACTAATTTAAGATTATATTTTTCATTTAATAATCAATTAAATACAAAGTCATAAAAATTTTGTGAATTAAATAGGAGAACATGAATTTTCAGAAAAGGGTGATATCTATCCAATTATATCTTCATATAATGGTTCCAATAAATTACTAGCAAACTCTGGCTTATGTCCAAATATCAATTAGAATAATAAATGCATAGGTCTTTCATATATTTATTTTCTTTGTTCATTTGTATAATTTTCATTAAAATACTTAAAATATTTAATAAAAATAAATACATCAACAATTGCATTTATTTTTTTTGCTATAAGAAACTATATTTAAAACTAAATTCTCATTTATTTAAGTAATTATTGTTACTATTTTCTCAAAACTTCTAATTGATGTTTCATATTATTTATTGATATTTAAGGTGAAGTGCCATCAAAATATTAGTCTTGATTGTCTTTTGGCTTTTTTCTTCTTTAAATTTTATAGAGTTCTTAACTAAAATACTCTCAAAATATACTAGTTTCCTTAAAAAAACATAGGATGATTATAGATTTTCTAATTTTTTTCATTTTTTTTCATTTTAAATCCATATAAACTAAGCTGTCGTAAAAAAGATTAAAAATTCTACGTATTAAAAAATTCTTCCATAATATTGCTTTAAAATTCGGGAATTCTTAAAATCTAAAAGGCTTTTCCGTCTTTTGTCCAGCAAATAGAAGTCCTAAATTGTTCTTACTAATTTATGTTAGTGAGATGCATTTTACTTCTAGGATATCGTATAAAATAACCACAAACTTTGCTGGCTTGTTCATTTATTACTAATAAAGGAATATAAATATAATTAATTTAAGAACAATAATAAAAATTATAATAAGGGTTAAATAGATTGTTAATTAATTATGAAAGTTAATATAAAGTAATCCTTGTCAATGATAATTTTAAGACCTTCATGAAAGCTTATTCATTGTGTAATTTAATGATATTTTTTTTTTTAAATATTCCAAATTTAAGTATATATTAAATGGATATATGTTGATGTATATTATATACATATTTTGATTGTCTAATTTGAAAAGGAATTAAGAGAGTAGTAGACAAACATGGAAATAACGAATAGATATTTGATATTAAATAATTAATGATGGGATTGTAATTATAATTTAACGATGATGTCACCACTCGGATTATAAAAGCAAATTAGAAAGAAATGATAATTAATTATAATGAACAAATTTTTAGCATTAGCAGCTATTACATTATTAACAGTTGGAATTCATCAACTTTCTTAAACATAATCAGTCGATATGAAAGTGTAATATGAGAATTACACAGTCTAATATGGCAAATTTTATTCCCCAGCTGAAAAAGCTTATAGATCTAAGATTTATGAAGAGGCAATGAAACACATTGAAAATTTCAATTCAGACCCAAGTAATACTGCTAGATTAGGTGAAAACTAATTTACTGATTTAACACCTGAAGAATTTGCTGCTTTATATTTAACAAGAAAATAATCAAACATGAATTTGAATTCTGAATTATATGTTCCATAAGGTCCTGTAAATGCTTCAGCTGATTGGTCAGGAATCACAAAAGTAAAGGATTAAGGTAACTGTGGTTCATGTTGGGCATTCTCAGCTGTTGGTGCAGTTGAAACTCTTTTAACAATTAAAGGAGTTCTTCCTTCAAATACATGGTTATCAGAATAATAATTGGTTGATTGTGATAAAGGTACAAATAATGGATGTAATGGTGGATTTGAAAATTTGGGTATATCTTGGGCTAAAAAGAATGGTCTTACAACTAGTGACAAATATCCATATGTAGCTAAATAATAAAAATGTTAAATCTCAACTGGATAATACAAACCATCAGGATATTAAGTTGTAGCTTCAGCTAACATGTACACTGCACTTTCTTATTAACCAATCACTGTTGCTGTTGATGCTAGTTCATGGTAATATTATAAGAATGGTGTTTTCACCGGTTGCACTTATAAATCCTTAAACCATGCAGTTTTAGCAACTGGATTTTAAGAAGATGGAACTTGGATTATTAAGAACTCTTGGGGAACTGCTTGGGGAGAAAAAGGATATATTAGATTACCTGGTACTGGCAACCCATGTGGTGTTAAAGATGAATCCTATGTTGCTTATCTTGAATGAGTTAAGTTACAAATTTAAATCATCTATAATAAATATTTATTTCTTCTATAGATATTTATATAAATCCAATTTCATTTTATCAAGTCATTTTTATAATTTATTTTTATATTTTATGAATCAATATCAATAATTTCAAAAAAGTTTCTATCAAGCTAATGATAAAAATAATAGAAAATTTATTACAGGTTAAATAATTGAAATGGAAAAACAGCCTAAACCACATGGCAAATTATTACCAAGACAAGTCAGACTTGAAGAAAATAATATGTCTCAAATTAAAAATTAAAAACACATAGAATACCCAACTGGTTTCTTAATAATTAAAAAAGTATTGATGAATAATAAATTAGTAAGAGTTTGATATTTTACCAGAAAATTAAAGAGCTTATTTTCCATGGACTAATAATTAAAATAAAAATGTAAGAGTAGTATTTGACCGTGCTCTAGATGGGTTGACTAAAACATAAATCTTAGACTTTAAAAAACCAACAGCTGTTTATTTTGATGACTTTGATTTAGGAATGAGATTTATAGAATTTTTAAAATTCAAAAATAAACAGAAACTAGATCATTCTAAAGAAATAATTAAAAAAATCATTAAAAAGTGGTTTTATTAGCAATCACTAAAAATTGCTGAAAGCTAAGTTGAGAAATTGAGTATAACTGCAAAGCGTATTTAATAATAGAAAAAAACAGAATAAAATGAATTTGTAATAGATTCTGATGAATTGTTAGAATATGATAAAGTAAGATATGAATAAATGTTTAAAATACTAGAAAAAATGGCTGATCAGGAGAAAAAACATTAAGAGGAATTAATGAAACTATAAAAAATTGCAAAGCTGAAAAAATAAGAAAATTTTATTAAACAAAAAGAGTCAAAGGCAACTATGGAATTACTTAATAATTGGAAAAAAATAGCTAATATTATATTAAAAGAGAAGGAGGATTTAGAAGAATAATAATAAAGAGAATTAGAAGAAGAAGAAAAAAGATTACAAAAAGAAATTGAAGATATTGAAAATGAATAGTAAAAAATATCTTAAATAAAATAAAATGAGGAATAGTCATAAATATTATAATAATAATAATAACAATAATAATAATAATAATAACAATAAAAATTACCTCAACATAAAGATTTACATCTTACAAACTTCAAACTAATTATAGGTTAGCATATTAAATTATTTAATCCAATTTTGCATATTTAGTTTAAAAGATTAGAATCATAAAATTATAGTAGGATGGAATTTGATAGAGGTCAAGAGATAACTTTTATGTAATTAGATATGAAAGGATGGACAGCTGATCTTCAAGTTACTTTATCAGGATTTTAAATTAAAGATGCTTTAGATTTAGTGATATATGATGATTATTAAGAAGTAAATGAGAAAATTTTGGCTAGAGCTTAAGAAGAATAGAATAATGTGTTGGCTTTCTTAGCTACTGCTAAAAAGGTCATGTAAGGTAGAATTTACATAATAGATTTTGAGAAGAACTTAAATAATAATAGAAGACATTTTGCTAGTTTGGAAGTATCAGCAAATTTGTAACAATATACTACAGGAAATGAATTATTAAATGTACCTATGATGCAAATTGATATTCATGAAGATAGTCCTTTTAGGATATCAAATACTACTATTAATCCATTTTATTTAGATATTATAGAAATGCCTTTTACAGCATAAGAATTGAAATATTTTGTAAGATAATTAAAAACTCCCTGCAATAGTTTGTAAGAAAAATGGGATTCCTTTAAAACTGAAGCTTTAGAAAATGCTCTTCAAGTTAGAGGATAAATATGGGTTAATAGTAAATAATCAGAGGATGATTTAATTGAAATTTAAGAGTATATTTTGGAAGAACAAGGAATAGAGGAATAAAAAGGAAAATTTATTTTACTCTAAGAATATTTATAACTTAATCCAATCCAAAATAAATAATGTTTGGTTAAAAATAAAATAATTGATGCCTGTAAAAAAGGATTTACGAAACAATCTAGAAAGGAATTAATTCCAATTTTGTTACAATTCAATACTAAATTAGATAAATTCACTAGGGATATTGGATTAGAATGGATTTAAAATGAAAGTATCATAAAACTAATTGAGAGTGAAGTGAACTAATATATAGAAGAAGAAACAAAATAAGCAAATAGTTAAAAAGTATAAAATTATATTGCTAGTATATAATTTAAAGAAGCAACTATATGGACAGATCAATATATAAAAAAGATGGAATAATGGAAGGATAGAATTACAATTCTATTAAATTGTTTTGAAATGAGTAATCACACAAAAAATAAAATGATTTTAACCATTAGATTGTTTCAACTTTTTAATTGTTAAGAAGGTTGCGATGATTATGTTTTCAAAATAATTTAAAGTTTAGAGTATAAACTAATGATTCCAAAAATTTCATTTGATAAATTGGATGCTTAATGGTTTAAAACTCATTTAAATAGTCTATTTAGTGATTTCTTTTATTTTGATATTTGGTTAAGAGTATTTGATTATATAATTGGGATAGGATTTGTAAATGGTGATTTTGATAAAGCAATAGGAAGTGTGATTGGTGGAATTTTAAATGAGGTAGATTATAAATAATATCGAACCTAATAAGAATTCATAACAGGGTTGACTATTTATGGAAAGCTTCTTTGTGATCCTGAAAAATTGATAATGAGCTGTTTTGACTCTTATAATCAACACGAATTTGTTTATTTAGAATCAGATGAATAAATAGTTGAAATTTTGACTTAAAATGTTAATCCTTTGGAATAGATACTTAATGATTAAATCTAATAATAAAAACCACATTAATAAAGTTTTATGATTGATGTTCCTGAAGAACATGAAGGATCAATTTATGAAATTTTAGAATAACAATAATAAGCAGTTTCATTGCCAAGATCTCAATAAATATATCTATTCAAATAAAAAATCGATAAAATTCACATTTTAATTCATTCAATGTATTTACATAAAATAACATTTTGTGAATAAAATATGGTTACAATTTAAAATTAAAGAAAAGGTGAATAAGATGGATTATATTTTGAATTACCATATTCATCATCAATTTTAGAAATTTAAATTAATGATAATTTTAAAGGTTAAATAGATATAGATTACTTTTAAGTAAATACAATTTACAAGAATTCTTTGATTTTAAATGATAATTATGATATGTAAAGACATTATCAAATATCTGAGTTAGAATATTCAATCTTATTAACAGGATAAGGATTACCGTATGAAAGAGTAAATAGTAAAGATACAGCTGTAAGTAATTTTAATGATCTAGCAACTTAATTTAAAGTTTAACACAATTTCTTATCACATCCAGATTCATTTAAGCTAGGAAATGTATTAAATTAGGCAGAATTCAAATAATTGATGTAATAATATTTCAAATTAGATCCTGGATCTCAAAATTTAGATCAATTATACTAAAATTTATTACTATAAGGAAATCAAAAGATATATTTGGTTGATATTTTGATGAAATTAACATAAGACAAAAATAAATAATTGGAAATTTTAAATTTATTCAATCCAAATGAAAAATTGAATCATAAATAGTTAAGGAGATAGGGATTGGAAGGAGGTGATGTAAAATTTTTAAAGGTATTGATTTCAGATGAAAATTATGAATAAAGTGTGGATTTGACAGAATACTTTAATAATTTATTGATGAATCATTTTTTAAAATACAATTCTTATGATATTTTATTTGTAGATTAGAATAATAGATTATACTTATTAGATAATGCAGGGTCGTTTTTGTAATAGCTGCGAACATGTATTTGATAATAATATTTTTAGAGATTTTGATTTTAAGATTGAAATTTAGCAGTTTTGGGAATATCAGAAGAATGTAATATTAGATTACAAAGTAATTTAAATTAACAAAAGAAATGCCAGTTTCTGCTACTTCAATTAAGGAGTTATTAGAGAATAACAAAAGATTATTATCATTAGACAATAATTAGAAATTAATGATTGAGAAAAAATTGAGATTTAATGAGCATTTAGTATACTTGAGGTGCAGAGAGGGATCAAAATAATTTGAAACCTGTAATCTTGTTGGATAAGTATTGAACAAGAATGAAGAATTGCAATATTATGTGGTTCAATTAGAAAATGAAAAGAATATCATAGTTTATAAAGAAGATGTGTTATTATTCGATAACATTTAACTAGAGGAATTACAGATGTATCATAAGATATGGAAATCATAATGATAATATTATATTTCTAATAAAATCATTCATTATTAAAATATAACTGTATTTAATTCTCGAAAATACCTTAAACTTAGATAACTAATTATAAATAGAGCTACTCCAGTGGGACTATTAAAGTAAAGTAACACACACAATTAACATATTGTATTAACAGGCATCTATCTAAATAATACTGGATAGTGGTGGCTATAAATCCATCATTAAATTTTGTCATTTATCGTTAGTTTTGAGGTTAAAACTGACTATCTAAAACCATACTAATTCAAATAGAATAAACAAATTAACATATTAGTATAATATTTTTATTTCTCAACAACTAATTTATTTTATGACTAAAATTCATATTAATTAACTTATTTAAAATTATTGATAATTATTGGAGTTATATGTATAAATCAATTATTAAACATTTTATGTAACATTCCTTATTTAATCAATTCTCTCTCTCCTCTTGCATAACCGAATTGGGCTCCTAATAATTATAATGCCTCAATGTTAAATCTATTAAATATCAACTTTCTCACCTTGCCAAATAGTTCTTATACTCAATCTCTTTCATTAATCTCTATAGCTCTGTTTCTTCGAATTTGCGAAACTATATTTCTTTCATTTCTATCTCCCTTTGTATCTATTGGTATTCTTTTATCAATTTATCTTTTTCAAAATTGTTGACCTCTGTAAACACTATTGATTATTCTTAAGCTCCATCCTACTTAAACATTTTTTAAATCTTTCTTGAAGCTTCTAAATATATTATATCATTAAGAGTTTCTTTGCTTTAAAATATTTGAGAAAATGTTTTTTCTATTAATTTATTTTCTATAGGACTCAAACCTTCAATTAACAATGCTAAATCATTCTATTATCTCTATTTTATTTAATTAAGATGTTATTTTTTAATTTCTACAGAATCAATTTAGGAGAAATGATTTTTTGATAATAATGATACAATTGAATTATTTCCTGTGTCAATTGAAGTGTCTTTATAATTACTAAAAAATTAGTGAGCTTTTCTAAATAAATCATTTAATTCTATAGTTTTTCTAGTTTTAAGCAAAAGAAAATCTCTAGCTTTGCTATCTAAATAGGGTGGGAAGTTAGAATCTGCAATTTTTTCACCTGAATCCCAAATAGCCTTAATAATCCAAGATAAACCTTATGATCGGCAATCTAAGCCTATTTTAAGAAGCTCTAATAAGAATCCTTAAATAGATTTTAGAAGTGCTTTGTTGTTTTTATTTAGTTTTGAATTTTCTTATTCTAGTTTTTCAATATGAACTGAATTTAGTTTCATTTATTCTTGAAATTTATTATAATTTTCTTTCATTTATTCAATTTGACTTTCTAATTCATTTTACTTAACAGCAATTAACATATAATTGTCAACCTAACTTGAATTATTCTTTATATTAGTTGGATTATTTGATTATTATGGTTTTTTATTGATACTTTTAAGTTCCTCCTACTTTTCTTTTATCTAAAATAAAATAAAATAAAAATACAAAATCTGAGATACTCCTTAACTTTTAATGAATTTCATGGTTTTCAATTCTTAATGATTCTAAATCTTATTCATTATTTTTGACTATTTTTTTTTGTTTATCAAGTTTTTCATTAATTGACAATAATATTTAATTAGTTTATTTTTCATAAAATATGGCTCTTTCACTTGCATTTTAAAATGATGTTAATTGCATTTTAATCATAGTATGTAAACTACTCTTTAATCCTTCAACAGTATAATCAAAAATGAGAGTTCCATCATGTTTTCCTTCTCCAAATTATTTTGCTTTTGCTATTTCTATTTATGCTAATTCTTATTATGTTAAATTTGATCCTTGCTATAAATATTTGTCCAATTATTTAGCAATAGAATGATCTTAATGAAGCATTTCAATTTTTTTAATAGCAGATATTTTTGATAAAGAGCTTAACAACTTTTATTTAAAAGAACTTTATTCATTTTCTACTTGAGTAGAATCTACAGTTATTTTAGGGAATGTAGATAAAGTTTATGCTTATTTTGATTTATCATTAAGAGCTCCTCTTCTAAATTATTATAGAGATTATGTTCTTTATTAGATTTATAATTTAGATAATCCTATATAAATACAAGATAGAAAGTACTTTCTTTTTCTTATTCTTATTTTAATTTATCTTATTACTCTCTCAATTTTCTCTTTTTTTCTTTATACCACATATCTAGATTAGCAACTAATTAATCATCACTCTCAGGTTTATATTGCAAATCTACTTTAAATTGTTCTTCTTGATGAGATTTCTTAGTAACAATTAATGCCTTGTTTCCAGGATCCTCTTCAAATTTCTCATAACTCACAAATAATCTTAAATATATTACATTTCTTATAACAATAACTTAGACCCTGGTTCATTTGATAAACTAACTCTTAATTTATTTTCTAAATCTGTTCTGTAAACTCTTTTATGTAATTTAATGGGTTTCTTTGAGCTGTCTTTTAAAGAAGCAATCATTTCATCCTAATCAGGTTACACTATATCATAAAATTATATTGTGTTCATTTCATCATTTAATATTTTCTTTCGCATGTCTTACATTACCAATGCCTCAATTTCTAAATGTGAACGTGGTTTCTATCTGTTACGGATTATTTCAGGAGCAGATTAAAGATTAATCCTATTTAATATTTTTTTATTCATAATTTATAATATCTCAACTGATCACCACAAAACAAAATAATTTTTGTATTTCCTTCTTCAATCAAAATAGGCTTTTGTAAAAATACTTCGTAAGGTTCAAATCTCTCATTATTTTGCATTTTTTAATCTTTTATTTCAATTTTCTAGTTATTTTTGTTTTTTTGATCTTTATTTTCAGTTTACTCAATATTTTGATTTTAAACTTATAAATAATTTAATCTTAAAGGCTTAAACTCAATGGGTAAATAAAATATCTCAGAATTATTTTCTTTTTTTTCCTTTCCTATAAACAAAACTGTCTAATAAAATTATTTTTTATCTTTGATATTCTATTAATTTTGTTGTTCATTTTATCTATTTTATTCATTTTATCTATTTTATTCATTTTATCTATTTTATTCATTTTAATTATTTTGTTCATTTTAATTATTTTATTCATTTTATTTATTTTATTCATTTTAATTATTTTGTTCATTTTAATTATTTTGTTCATTTTATTCATTTTGTTCTTTTTATTTATTTTATTTCTTTAATTCATCTAGTTTCTTTTGTTCAATTTATTTCTTTAATTCATCTAGTTTCTTTTGTTCAATTTATTCAAATTATTCAAATTATTAAATTATTTAAATTTATCTTTTATCTTTACCAAATACATAAAAATTATATTCTGAATCCTAATTAATCTTCATTTTAATAAAAGACATTATAATCATTTGATTAAATTGATGTTCTTATTTACCCAAACAAAGTAATATTTGATATTTATATGGTTAATTTAAATTATTATTATCTAGATAAAAATCTTCCTAAATTTCTCCTTTCTCATGATTCTTCATGGGATTGACAATATTAATTAATTTTCCACTTTCAGTTGAGTAGATAATATTTTTCTCATCTGAAAGTTCAAAACATGTAATTTTATCTATTTTATCATAAGCTTATTCTAATGTTTCGTAATACTGATTATTATTAATTTAATTGGTTTATATTTGAAAGTTATTTTCTTAATCCTGACCCATAATCATAAAGCATTCTTAGAGACCATACAAATAAAAATGTTCATCAACTTCTTAATATTTTTCTTAGATTTATTTTTATTTAATTTCATTTTCTTTTTAATCTTCTTACATTTGTTATTGTAAATTTTAAGTTTGATAAAATAACTACCCTTGTACNTTTCCTTCTTCAATCAAAATAGGCTTTTGTAAAAATACTTCGTAAGGTTCAAATCTCTCATTATTTTGCATTTTTTAATCTTTTATTTCAATTTTCTAGTTATTTTTGTTTTTTTGATCTTTATTTTCAGTTTACTCAATATTTTGATTTTAAACTTATAAATAATTTAATCTTAAAGGCTTAAACTCAATGGGTAAATAAAATATCTCAGAATTATTTTCTTTTTTTTCCTTTCCTATAAACAAAACTGTCTAATAAAATTATTTTTTATCTTTGATATTCTATTAATTTTGTTGTTCATTTTATCTATTTTATTCATTTTATCTATTTTATTCATTTTATCTATTTTATTCATTTTAATTATTTTGTTCATTTTAATTATTTTATTCATTTTATTTATTTTATTCATTTTAATTATTTTGTTCATTTTAATTATTTTGTTCATTTTATTCATTTTGTTCTTTTTATTTATTTTATTTCTTTAATTCATCTAGTTTCTTTTGTTCAATTTATTTCTTTAATTCATCTAGTTTCTTTTGTTCAATTTATTCAAATTATTCAAATTATTAAATTATTTAAATTTATCTTTTATCTTTACCAAATACATAAAAATTATATTCTGAATCCTAATTAATCTTCATTTTAATAAAAGACATTATAATCATTTGATTAAATTGATGTTCTTATTTACCCAAACAAAGTAATATTTGATATTTATATGGTTAATTTAAATTATTATTATCTAGATAAAAATCTTCCTAAATTTCTCCTTTCTCATGATTCTTCATGGGATTGACAATATTAATTAATTTTCCACTTTCAGTTGAGTAGATAATATTTTTCTCATCTGAAAGTTCAAAACATGTAATTTTATCTATTTTATCATAAGCTTATTCTAATGTTTCGTAATACTGATTATTATTAATTTAATTGGTTTATATTTGAAAGTTATTTTCTTAATCCTGACCCATAATCATAAAGCATTCTTAGAGACCATACAAATAAAAATGTTCATCAACTTCTTAATATTTTTCTTAGATTTATTTTTATTTAATTTCATTTTCTTTTTAATCTTCTTACATTTGTTATTGTAAATTTTAAGTTTGATAAAATAACTACCCTTGTACTTTTTTTGAACTAGGCTTGAGATCAACAGTATAATAATAAAAGAAGAGATGCTAATTCCATATATACAAATTTTCAATAATACTATCAAAGTAAAATCTTTTAATAACTACACCTTCAATATCTTAGATTAAGAGTTGCATATCATCACCACAAGAAAATAGTTAATTTTAAAAGTAAACAATTGATCTTACTGAATCATTGTGATGTTGCATTTTTTTACTTTAAGTAGATGTAAATTTATATCTGAATACATTAAAATCTTTGATCCAAAATTCACCAGTTATTTAATATCGAATGATTTAATTACTTTCATAACCTACAATCAAATATGTTGTATTTTAATCCAATTAAACATCAAGTAAACATGTGACAAATTCATAAAGATTTTATTAAAATGGTATAATAACATGATGTAAATTTAATTCTTCCTATGAAAAACTTTACTAATTCTAATTCTCAATTCCTTAATTCTCTTAATTAGCTTAGGATTCAAATTTAAACTCCTTATCTTATGCTTAAGAGAATGTTTATGGCTTCATCTCAGATTATTAATTATACAAATTTAGGTAATCAATATCCCATAAATAGATATTTTTATCTGCTCCAGCAGAAACTATAAATTTCTTTGTCTCTTTTGGAATTTAATTATTTAATTTTTAATATTTTTCATCCCACAATTGCTTTTTCTTTATTTGCCAATCTTAATCCCCAAGATTATTTTTTTGATCTTCAAATTCAATACACTTATTAAAACTTTTCTAAAAAACGACATGATGAATAGTAGTTGCAAAAACAAAAGAAGTATGCTTATTTAAGTTAATAAGTTCAGGTGCCTTAGTAATTTGCTCAGTTGTAAACAATTAATTTGTCTACTCAATTCTACTCATTTTTATTTGATTGGAAATAATAATAATAAATAATAAATATCATTCAGCAGAGTCTTTAAATTATTTTTGATTTATTTCCTTTAAATCAATGAATTTTGTTTGATTTAATGCATAATTATTAATTTAAATAACATTTCTTTAGAAGGATCAGTGAAAAATTCTATCTAGAATTATGCTATGATAGCCTCTAATCCTCCAATAATCCATCCAATAAGAATAATGGAGAACCAGAAATAAGGGGTTCCAACAATAGTAAATAGAGTATATTCCATTAAAGTGCCTGGCCAAAATTATGATATTATGACATAAATGATATAGAGTAGTATAGACAGAAATGTAATAAATATTAAATTAAACCAAGTCCAATATTTAGTTTGAATGGCTATCTTTAAATCAGCAATCTTGAATTATTAATTTAAAATCTAATACTAAATTTATATTAGAATAAACAGTTAATGAAAAGGCTGCTAATCCTCCAGGAAATTCATTATCCTCTATAATTTCATAATCTAAAATCCAAAGTATGAAAAAGAAGATTATCATACCATGTACTAAACCAGTAAATGTCCATAACATATAATTTGGAATTGTAAAAATACTTTTACCTTATTCTACATAATAAAGACTTAGGAATTTAACCTTTAAATAGTCTTCAAATTTTTTTAAACTGAGGCTACTTCTTCTTTGTCATCATATTATATATGTTATCTGTAATAGATGTCTTAATCAAAAATACCTCTCATAATAAGTGGAAGTGCAGTAAATATCAAATTATAAAATATAATATACCAATCATCAAAAAATGACTAACCTGAAAATGCACAAAAATATGAAAAGAAAAATTGAGGGACAGTAAATATCATATTTTTATAGAAGAAATACAATACCATTTCTGCAATCATAATATAATTCCAATGTCCATAAACTTATAACAGTCTCCATAAACATCTGAATTCCCCTCAAGCAAAATCACTACTTTAAACTGCTCTCATTCCTTCATCTCCATATAATCCAACTCCTATATGAGCTGCTTAAATCATATTAACATCGTTTGCACCGTCTCCTTTTGCAATATTATTTTATTTAAACGATCTTTAATTAGTCTTACAACATCAGCTTTTTGTTTTGGAGTAACTCTACAACAAACTACACTTTCACAATCTTTTGCCATACTAAATGCTTAAGCTAAATCTTCATTATCATATTATAAATTGTAGGGATTATCCTTCTACCACAAATGACTAAATTTTACATTTTATTAAATACATTCTTTCTTTTTTCTTTTATATAATGATCATATGTTTTTCTTAAAAATCTCCAATCTTCGTTTGAAATTCCTCAACTGATGCTTCTGATAATCTCATTACTGTGAAATCACCTTAAATTAAACGACAACTTTCAATGTTTTCTGCAGTCTCTAATTTATCTCCAGTCAGCATCCAGACTTTTATATTTGCTCTTAAATATTTGTTATAAAATAGAATTATATAAATATCTTATTTTTATAAAAGATAATTTAAATAAATGAATGTATCGGCTCCTTTGATAAATAATTTGATGACACCATTATCATCAATGATAACACTCATTCTTTGATGTGTTGAATCAAATTCTAAAGATTTTAATAATTTAACTTTTTTATCCTTTCCCAAAATTTAAAAATTTTGTTCACTTGCAGATGCTCCAGTAAATTAAAAACCCATTCTTGCTGCTGCATCAACTAATGTGATTTCATCTGAAGATCGGCCTTAATAACTAGAATTTAAATTTTTGTCATATTAAATGATGCATTCATGAGTAGAGGATAATAAAAAGAAGTATTCTTCAAGTAATTTTCTTTAACTTGGAATTTTGATTTATTATTTACCATCTAATGATTAAATAATCAAAATGGCTAGTTGATCTCCTGAAGACCCTTCTCCTTTAAGAATGGCACTTAATTCAAGATCTTGAAAATTGAAAACAGAATGTTAGAAGACCTCACTTACAGGATGTACTTTAGCATTTTACTCTCTTTTTGAATCCAGATTTTATATTGGAATATTTGTTTATTATTGTTTTTATCCATAAAGTGTGTTTCCCTATAATACAAATTCCATTTAATTACTAATAAGAGTACCAGTTTTATCAGAAATGATGTATTCTATTTATGCAAGTTCTTCATTAATAGTAAGTAGTTTCGACTTTGGTATATATACTTATCTCTTGATTTTACATACATTTCTTCATCTTACTCTATAAAATAAACTTAAAAGACTTTAACGAATTCTAGACTAACTATCAATGATATCGATATCATAGTATTATATAATAAAATATAACTGAAAAAAGCCTAAAAGCTAAGTAAATTAGGTGAAAAAATCATTATAACCTAAATACCAACTATCAATGCCATTTGAATGAAGCCAAGCAGATAAAAAGGAAGCAGTATTAATTGATAGTGAAATTTAAACTACTAATATTCCTAGAATTAAGATAATCATAATTCTTTCAATTTCACTTGATGTAATTCTAGAAGCATCAGCATTCCTCATAATTTTAGTATTCTATCCTGTATAAACAACTAAACCAATAACCCATTCTATATTTCTAAGAAATGCTCCTCTTAATAATAATTATTTAGCTGTTAATTAAAACTTCTTTAATTACCCATCATTTCCAACACTTAAAAATAAAGAGGCATCCAATTCATAAAGATTTTAAGTAGGAACCTATGCTTCTACTCTTATCTTTAAATCTGTATAATTGTTCTTATCACCATAAAAGTTATTAACTTTCTAAAATTACACACCACTCTGTATTGCATTTCCTAAAACAATTAAATCAGCAGGAAAACTCTCATCTTATTACACAAATACAAAATCTCCTACTGCTAATTTTGCCCATGATGAACTAAGTAGTGTAGTGTTAATTTTATTATTCTTACACTTTCTTCTATCGAGATTTCATTAAAACACACAATGTTGCATCCACTTCATTATCTGATACATGTCTTCCATAATCTTCCCAACCTTTTATATTAATCTCTATTCAAGCCTTCTCTTCCCATTGATAATCCTAATACAAATACTAAAGGAGCTATTGCACTGAATGAATTCAATGTTGATAATACTGAAATACATTAAATTATTGCTATGCATAAGAAATATTTGCATATCGTGTAAATTACAACAGTAACGATTTTGGTAAGAAAGTTACTAAATTATATCTATATCACTATATAATTAATTCTTACCTTGATGTCTTTATAAAATTTGATGGATATTATTCTAATTCTTCTTATGTTCTCTCACTCTTATAATTTCCCTCAAATTATCGAGAGTAGTTCAAGAAATCGGGTCTCTTAGACCAAAACATTTATATTACTTTTATAAAATTATTTAATCGGAATTAATCCAATATTCTAAATTTGTTATTTATATAAACCTCAAAACTTTGGCAATGGAATTTCATTGTCTAATTTAACAATCACTCTTCCTAAATTCTTACCTAAAAACACCTTTTGTAATCCAATAGTCACATTCTCCAATCCATTTATGAACTCTTCTTTATGTCTATATATATAAGTAAGATTAATTACTAAATATGATTTCCTATGACTAATTCATTCATTTCTTTAAATGATTCCATAATGGCATTCTTTTATCCAAAATACAAAATTCCTTCAGCTTTAATTTACTTAGTAATGAAGTGTGATAAATTTTTTAAACCACCTCTATTTTTCCAAGTATAATATGTAGCAGTAGCTCCACATAATACAATGAAAGCACCTTTATTCATGGCTGGTATGACAGCATCTAAGACTTCTTCTCCAGAGTTATCATACATAGCATCTATTCCTTCAGGTGCTGCTTACTTAATTAATTTAGTCAATTTGCTATTTAAGAATAAGTTAATTAACATACTCTGTATCAACAATTCCATCGGAATCCATAGTATCATTGTAACAAACACAAGCATCAGCTCCTAAAGAAAGTACAAAGTCTTTTTTGTCTCTACTACTAACAATACCAACAGTTCTATATCCCCAATGTTTTCCTATTTGTAGAGCAAATGACCCAGTTGATCCTGCAGCAGAGGAAACTATAAGAGTCTTCTTAGATTCTTTAGTAGGTAGATTTTCTTTAGGAATTTAATGTAATCCCTTTAGTGCAGTGATACCTGTAACACCATAACTAAATTATCACAATTAAAATATACACAGATAAAAAGAGAGGTAAATTAGGATCATGTTTTGATTTAAGAGCAGGTAGTTTAAAAATTGCATTAGCAGATCTAACACAATAATCTGCACAATCTAAAGCACCTAATACTAAATCTCCTTTGTTAAATCTTTTGCTTTTAGATTCTGCAACAACTCCACATCCAAATGCAGGAATAACTTATCCTTAATGTACTGTATCAATATAAGTCTTAGCTCCTGAAAACCATACTCTCATTACAGGATCTATGCTAACATAGCAAACTTTAATGAGTAGGTCATTTTCTTTAAGATTTGATGGAATTGGAAAGTTCTTCACATCAAAGAAATCAATATTCTTTGGAAAACTATCATCTGGATATCTACGCAGAGTTACTCCTCTCATTTTAATAATGTAAAATTAAAGATTTAAACTAAATTTTTAAACGTTGACTTGTATTAATATGTAATTTAATGATTCATAAATTAATATATTATCAATTATTGAAAATATTATAAATATTATAGATTTCATTTAGTTTTAGGTGAGTATCCTGCAGGACTCTTAACTCCAGTTAAATTAGGTTCTTAGTAATTAAAAGAATCTTATTTTTCAAGTGACATTTCTTTCATACAGAAATTATCAGCTTCAATTAATTCCAATTTTCTTAGGATTTTTTCTTTCATCAATGCCATTTTACTTATTTAGGCATCTTCAGGTAACTTTTAAATAATGATTATAAGTTTATTTAGTTTTCTAATTTGATAACTTTTAACTGTATTTATTCTCTAAAACATAAATGATAGAATTTACATCAGTTATATCTTATGTTTCTTTGTATAGATTTCGATTGCGTTCCATTTAATGTCTGATTTCTTCTAAGATTATTCTTTAGTTTGACTATAATTCTACAAGTTATTAACGAAGTTTTTCATGTTCATTTAGATAGGATTCTTATTCAAATTCTTTAGTTAAAGATTCTAAAGTTTGTTTAATATCATCTTAATTCCTTCTCTTTATCTTAAATAAATTATTCCTATAATAAATCACTAAAAATCATATACTTTAGACCTCTTTTGAATTATTAATGTTAGAATTCACTTTTCCCTAATTTATTTTTCAACTTCTTAAATCCATACATATTAAGTTATCTAATTCTATATTATTAATTAATTACCTTAAAAAACTCTAATAATTGCGATGTTTAAAATACTAAGGCATTATTTGCTCAGTCAATTATGATAAATCCAAAATCTGAAATGTTGTCCCTTCTTTATTCCATCTTATTGCTGTTTGTTTGGACTCAATAATAACAAATTATAAATTACTTCTAGTATTTCATATAATTTTAATAAAAAAGATGGTATTTGTCTGATCTCTTGCATTTTTTTATTTCTAATTATTAAAGATTAATTAAAAAAAAATTTTAGTGATCTTAATTACTTGTTTTTGATGTATTCCGAGGCATTGCAAGTTTCCTTACAATTAATGATTTACTTAATCTTAAGAGAATTTCAAGATAAATTAGGGAAAATATTCAATTATCTTTGAAATGCACTCTTACCTAAAATTGGATTCAAAAATTCTAATATAACTACACCAAATAATCTAAACTTTCCTACCATTTTTGTATATGAAACTTAAGTATCATTTATTGATCTTTAGTAAAATAATCCTCAATAGCTAACATAGGTAAATATATTTAATTAAAAAAAAACTGTGATTTAAATAGTTTGTTATTAAAAATCTTGAAGAATATTTCTTTGTGAAAGATTTTTAATTTTTTGAAACCTTAATTTATTAATGATCTACTGTTTTACTACTCTTCAAAAAAATCATAATTACCGTCTGGATAAAATAGAGCCATTCTTTATTTCTTTATTAATTGTAAGATCTAACATTTTAGAATTGTGATCAAGCACAAATAAGAAAATTAATAATATATTTTATTTTAGATTATAGTTTAAATTGTTATGGGATTTGTTCATTATACTCCTTCACAAAAACTCAAAAAATTTAATTTATCACTATCTTAACACGTTCAGACAAACTCTATTAAACTTAAAATCAATAGAAATACCTTAAAAGAAATAGAGATTTAATAATAATAATAATAACCATAGGATGAAAAAGTTAAAAAAAAGAAAAGTAGATAATAATAAAAAGATGTTAAGAACCTGAATAATGAATTTAGTTATAATCATAGTATTAGAGTGATAATACAAAAATCTTTATCAAATCTAAGTAAGATTTATGATCTATTATTTTAATAATAAAAGAGAATATATACATTATTTAAGATGTTATTTGTTCTATTTTTGATAAAAAGATTATGCAAAATTATATTCCATAATTGTTAAGTTTAATAAAAGGGATTTTATAGTTGGATTATGAAACTTCCTTTTATAGACTTTATTTATATTTAGGTAAAAAGTCATAGAGTTCAATATTTAAAATAAAATGGTAAATTAGGTTTTGGTAGTCTTGATTGGATTGATTTATTATCAATTGTTTATTAAAGAAATATAAAACTTAATTATTATTAATATTGGAATATTCATTTGAAAATAATATTTTGATAATAAATTATTTTAGATAAACATATATTATAAATTATCAACATTCATCAATATTATAGGATTCTTAATCAGCTAAGATTTTAGTGAGAGGTTCAATAAATTAAGATGCCAATTTCTCTAGAGATGGGTGTCTAAATACATCCAATAATAATTTTGTAATAACTTAATTCTCTTTTTCAAGTGATTTAACCTTAAATATATTTATTTGTAATATTTATACCTTCTTTTATATCTTATCATATTCATCTTATAGAGGACCAATCTTTTCTAATGCTTCTCTCTTCTTTTTTTAAGACTCCTTTGCTGAGTTTCTATTTCTTCTAATACTATATTATCTTTAGATTCAATTACCATTAACATTTCTTACAATTACATTCTTCTTCACCATTATATACACATTTATTTTTTAATTTCTCAATCATCTTTAAATAATAATTTGAACTATTTTTCACTGGCTATTAATCTTAAATTCCATTCGAAACTAGATGATCTAAATATTAACTCTCCAATTAAAATAGCATTGGTAATATGAATAATATTTAACAATTCATTTATTTATGAATTTTTATAATATTGCTACTAAATTACAAAAGATCTAGATCATTTGATTCTTCAAAAAAAACTTAAGTTGCTTTTTTTAAGAAATCTTATGTTGTTGCTTTAAAACTACCCATTATTAGTAAATACTATTTTTATTAAATTATATTTACTTCCTAAAATATCTAATCATTATGCAATTTTGAAGTCTATTTAACACTTTATTCAACTAAATCCATAATTAAATTGCTTTTTGTAAAGAAATTATTCATAGATACAGTATACTAATTGAATTGTAATAAAAACATATCTTTTGTCATTTTTTATTATTATTAACTCAGCATTTTGAAAATAAATGCTGTCCATACATCTTCTTATGTTTTCTTTATCATTTGATGTATTTATGTAAATCCCATCTATTGACTGAACGATTAACCATGAGTTATTTAATAACAGTATAATGTATTGAAAAAGATGTCACAAAAGTCATCACGGAACAACAAAAAATTAGCAAGATATTTTGTACCTTTTACTATTAATTTATTCATTACTTTAATCATAATATACCAATTAAGAACGAAAAAGAAGCCCTATGGTCTAAAATAAAGAACAACTCATCGTAATTTTAAGTGGATTGGATTTGTATTATGATATAATTTCTTACACAATTTCTTTTTCTCCAGGACAATTTTCTAGCCCATAAATTACTAAATTCCCCATTATTTGTAAGAAGTATGGTAATTGTTAATCTAACACATTATTTAAATTGATTGTTTGTTTTTAAAGAATAATTTTCTAAAAGAAGGATGTCACCTAATTTTAAATTTCAATTAAAGTTGGAGACTTACTAAATAATTACTAAAATATTATACGATGCTTATTATATTGGTTATTATTACTATTGGCATTGCTGAATTATAGAGAGAAGTTGCTATTTCTGTAAATACTAAACAAATTATTTTAAATGTTATACTTAAATATTTTGTTTCTAACCATTCTCTTCTTATTTAACTTATTATTGTTTTTCTTGTTATTGTTATTTCATTATACTCTATAAAAAGACTTGTTAAATGTGATTCATTGTTAATTTTAATAATGAAAGAATTAACAATTCTATCTCTTTAAGTTAAGAACTGATACGTATTATCAACATTCAAAAAAGAACATTTTTGATTTAAATTTCTTTCTTTTTCAGATTTTTTTTTACGCACCATTATAATTATTATATAAATATATAATAATCACATATAAAACCTAATTTACAATTGTTATTTTAAAATATGTTTATTTTTTATATTTATTTACATTAATCTACTCTTAGAAAATACCATAAATAGTTTTAAACTTAATCTTTAAAATAATTATTGAAATATTATTTTTATAAGAATCGTATTAAAAATTGTGTTAAGAATAAAGATAAATTTTATAAATTAAGTAGTTTAAATGATAATGAGTATATTTTTGTTAGAAAATATTTAAAACAACTTTTCTAAAGAATAATTTAAAAAAAGACTACATGTTAAATTCAATAGATTGATTGTTAAATAAAAAAACTAAAATATATAAGCATTTGAATGGAGGGCTTCTTGTATATTTAGCAAGTTCAAAATTTAAAAATTGAGAAATTTTAACCATTATTAAATTGATTATAAAAGACTTGTAAGAAAGAATGAAAGTTTTCTTATCAACATTTCCATTAGTATTATTTAATTGAAATTTAACTCATATTTATCATTTTGATAATCTATAATTACCTTAAATGAGACAATCTTAAAAAGTATTTTCAAAATGTACTTAGAATATGAGGCTAAGAAATTAATTGATTTTCATAGCCTCTGTCTAAGCATTCATCATCATATCCTATGTTTTAGCATAAAATATGATTCACCTTTCTCTACTTAATGAATACTTTTCAGACACTTCAAACAATTTGTATAAGGAAAATTCAAATAGGATTCAATCTAATATAATAAAATTATATAGAAGCTACTTTGATAAAGTCTTCTATTTAAGTAAGTATAAATATAATTAGATGGCAACACCTTAATCTCATTTCATAGATTATATCATTATACTAAAAAGTAAGTAATCCTTTAGAATAATTTTATAACAAACGAAGACTTCTAAATGGCATATGGTGGAATAAATCCGATCCCAGATCCTTTTCGAATAGTTAAAGGATATGGAAACTATGATATTTCATATTGCTTTATGTGTTATTCAAACTTAAGTTCATATAATTAACCTAAGAGCATTGATGAATTAGTAGGTATTAAAATGTAAGAACAAGTACAAGCTTATGGTTAACTTTTATATTAAGGAAAAGAGATTAACCAATATTTCTTTTATTCTTATATAGTAAAGGAGAAATTAACCTCAATATATCCTTGTTTAAATAGACAATAAGGAATTTATAGTTATAAACCAGAGTAACGAGACTGGTATATTGAGTTACAAAAGAATTATGATAAAACATAAAATTATAATGCTTATAATTACACATTTACGAATCCTTTCATGTGTAAATTTATGTATAATTATTTTAGTATTTACAGAAAAAAAAATTGGATTATCTATGGCAATGCCTCTTGTAGATGAATAAACTAAATTAATAGGTGGAGTGGGATCAATATTTTTAGGAAATGAATTTGTTTAAGAAGCAGGCTAAAATAAATTTGGATTTCAAATTATATATTTGATTTCAAATGAAGGAATTATGATTATGCATCCATACAAAGTTTCAGAGGAATATTTACCTTTATTCATATATAATGAGACTATTACAGGATTTAATTATTCAGATTGGAAAGAAATTTAAAAAAAGAATGGATCATCTTCTTGTCCAAATTTTGAGTTATACAATTCCTCCCTTTAATGTCGATTTAACTCTTTATATAATTAAGAAATGATTATTGGTATTTAGGAGATTCCTAAATTTAAGATGATTCTGATCATGTATAATAATTATAAACTCTAGGTTATTAAGTAGTCAAGAATACTTTGAATTTTATTATAAATTTTAATAATAATTGTAAGAAAGTTTGTCAGAAACATTATCATAAGATATTACTACATTATTTGGATTATTAGTACTGGTGTGTATTTGCATTTATATACTTATACAGATTATCTTTTACCCTATTTATGCTGTTTAAGAATATGCTAAAAATATGATCTCATAAAAAAAGAAATAAGAAAAAGGAATACCAATATTTATTTAGAAGTTTATGAGTGATTAGGTGAGGTAATTGCTTTAAACTTTTAAGTTTGTTGAAAATAAATTAGAATTGTTATCATTTCGTAAAACTGAGTAATGCTCTTTTTTTGAGAATATTTAATATCCTTAAAAAAGCATTTCATTTCAACTTCATCTTAAATAATATCAACATTTTCTTAAAATTCACAAAGTTTAAAAATTTAAATTATTACAAAGTCAAAAAGATCATATTTTATAATTATTTATGTAAAATAGCCTTAATTTAAAGAAAATCTTATAATTAGTAAAAAAAGCTAATTTGTTTTAAGCTTCTTGAATTTTAATCTATTTTGATTCATAACATATTTGATTATATTTTAAATTATAGAATTGATATAATAAAATGATAATTAATGAGTAATAATCTAAATTATATTAAAATTTAACTGCTATGTATAAAAAACATTCCACAGAAAAATTAGTTAGAAAAAATGCATCTCCAACTCATGAAAAGGAGAATAATTCTTATGCTCGTAAATATAGTAGAAAACTTTTGAGTAGATAAAGTAATCATGATGATTAAGAAAATATTTTAACAACTTATAATTCATAAACTAATACAATCAATTAAAATGAAAGTGCAGCTCATTTATAATAAATTATTTAATAATAAAAAAGATAAATCTAAAATTTGAAAATGGGTTGTCCTAGATGTTTAACTAAATAAAATACAGATCTTGAATTAAGAAATAAAATTTTAGTTTAAAATAATTAGATTCTTTCTTTATTATCAAGGGAAACTTAATAATAAGATTACACAGAACTATTTAAAATAAATTAGATGCTTTAGTAATAAAATGAGGAATTAAGATAAAATAATGAAATTTTAATATAAAATCAATAAGAAATATTATAAGAAAACTTATTCTTAAAAAATTTATTTGCTGAAACAAGTAGCAATGCAAATGCAAAGGAGAATTCAAGCTGTAATTTATTTATATTATAATTGATAGAATTATTTAGTCTTTCATAATCATAAGGAAGATTTTCTTCAATTTTGTAGTTAAACTCATAAGTTCAATCTCCATCACATACTAAATAACATCACGATAAATTATTTAACTTATTAAAATGAGTTTTGATTTTATTATCCATATATATTATTTTAATTTATTATGTTTTTTAAGTAAAACCTTTATCTTATTTTAGTTTTGCTCGATTCTTTCCTCAGCAATAATAACTTGATTCATTATTATTAGCTAACGCTGATTGTGAATTAGAATTGATTTTATAGACAGATAATATTTTATAAGAAATTAAAGGAATGGGAGCCAATAAATTTGCTGATCAGTACATAATTTATTAATTATATTTTATAGTATAATCAAGCATCCAGAAATGTATTAAAGGATGATTAATTATATAATAATGGTTGATGATGAATTGACTGACAAATAGAGATAAATACAGTATTATGTAAAATAAATATCAAAAGATATCCATTCTTATGTAGTGAAATTTTAGGCAGTTAAAATTAAAAATTATTGGATTTTCTATTTGAAAGACCAGAGGAAGGAATAGAAGCAGATGCAGAAATGATTCGAGTTAGCTTATATGATCAATTGATTAGCTTTCTTGAAGGAGATGTTTTTAATATGACATCAGCAGGTTATTTTTCAAAAGCGTTTCTTGCTATTATAAAAAAAAGAGGATTTGATGTATCATTTATTCAAATTTTTAGGTATGGACTCAAATTATTAATAATAAATAAATTATATCTAATTTATTAAAACACATTGATTGTAGGCATATTGCAGAAATTATTGAAAAATTAATAATCCTTGATACAACATAAGAATTTACAGAAGAAACATTTCTTAATGAAAGAAAGACATTATTATAAAGAATTATTATCTTAATGCAAAATAAATATCATTGTTCAGAAATAGTTGAAAACATTTGCGATATTTTAATAGAAATTACATCCAAAAATATGAGTTGTTTATACTATAATAATCCTGATATTGTTCCATTTATTGATTAAATTAAAAGACCTGAATTGCTATATGAGATTGCAATTAAAACATAGAAACCATAGCCTTTATAAGTTTTGATTAATTTAGTTGAAATGTCATCAAAAGAATCTAAAAAAGAAGAAGATGATGAAGTTATTCACAATAATGAAAAAGATTATTCAATTTTTGAAAACATTGTACCTGAATTACCTTAAAATTTATTAAGCAAAAGATATAGTGCTGCTAATTTTAAAAATTCAAATAAAGAATAAGTTTAACCATTTGGACTACATAAGATTACGCTATTAAAATTAATTTAAACTTTCGTCTAGTAAATTTGAATATTCATTCATAGAACAAATGACATCTCTATTATTGAATCGATGTTAAATGCTGGTTTGGTTTAAGTGTTAGAAACTATATGTGTTTAATATTCATCTAATAATCAAATTCACATTATAACTGAAAAGATTATAAAATCAATATTAGATTTAAATGATGAAAAATTAACAGAAAAAGTTTAATTTTTAATTTAAAATTTAGGTATTTGAATTTGGTTAACTTATCGAATTTATTATTGGTTATCATATAGAGCAGAATGATAAAAAAGGATATTTGGCACTTTTGACCTAATTATCTAATTATTTAATTGAGAAATCTTACAACAAATTAATTCTTTAATATTATAAAGATAGTAAAAATAAGAATTAAAATTAGATTAATAATGGTTTAATTTTGTGAAAAACAGACTATGCAACATTAATTAAAAAGAGAAACCTTATTTATGTAATGTTAATCCAAAAGCCAAATCAGAAATTGCTGATGATTAAGAATCAGATATTATGCAGATTTTGCAAGTATATTATGTTTGAATAATTATATAGAAATTTAATGATTCTTAATATGGTTAGTAGAATTAAGTAGATTAATAAGATCAATAAGATTAATAAGATTAATAAGATTAAGATAAGGAAACATAATAAAATGAATAAGATTAAGAGAATAATAATTAATAAGATGATGGAGGATAAGAAGAAGATGAGAATATTTTAATAGATATTAATGATGATTAGGTTTGGATGGAAGATAAAAATTAGAATAAAAAAGTAAATCAAGATGATGAAGCTTAAGAAAATAATAATTAGAATATTTAATAAGTGATTTCATAAGATATTAAAGAAGTCACTACAAAAGATGAAAGTATTTCTTCTTTATTTAATCACAACCTATTTTGGAAGATTTAATATGACAGTCAAAATGCAGAAGATATTTTAAATAATTATGCATGATGATTTTGTTATAAAGAATAGTATTGAAATTTATAAACAATTCTATTTTATAATTTATAATTAAAAATTTAAGAATTATATGTCAATTTCAAAAATAAAGATTGAGAAATATACTTTAAACAAGATATAAATTATAAACATCATAGAGAAAGTTACAGATTATAACAACTACTTTTTTTGGTTTATTTTCTTTTTCTACAATTATTGATTTTTGAGATTGTCTTTCCTAATTAAAATCAATTAGGACAATTTTTTCTTTATAAACAACTTTCCAAAATAAAATTTCAAGACCAAACTAGTTTGAAAAATGATTAAAACAAAAACTTATTGTTTATGATGAAGTAAATGATTTTATATAATATTTAAAAACTATATATATAGTTTAAAATTTATAAAAGTGTGTTTAACTAAATTAAAAATACCGCATAAAATTTTTGAATAATTTAAATAGAGTTTTGTATGGCTAGGCTTAAAAAAGGAAAATAATACAAGAAAAAATCTCTTTAATAGACATAATAACAGTAACAACCTATATAATAATAAACCATTCAAAAAATTATAAAAAAGATTAAATAAGCACCGTCAGAAGAAAGAATAATTGAGAGGAAACCTTCACCTTAAATATTCTTAGAGAAAAGAACTAGAAAGGAATAAATGTAATTAGGTGTTAAAAAGAAAATACGATAACCCTATAGTATTAATTTTAGTAAAATTTTAAGATCAAGGATATTACCCAGATTCACCTAATTTATAATTTCCCAATTAATTATTAGATTCTTTGATAAAGGTTATTTGTTCCTTTGGAAACAGTGCTAAACTAAGTTAAATAATCAAAAACTTGAGTTTATTTTATTCAAATGAAATTCAAGAAGAAGTGCTTAATTTAGTTTTAGCTGAATCAGAGGAGTCTGGAACTATTTATGAACTTGATGGAAAATTCAAAGTTACAAATGGTCTCATCTAAAAAGTATATTTAAGAAAATAATAGATTAGCCATTATAGAAGAACGATTAACTTGGTTCGAGATTGAAGCACGAAGATATTGATGATAATGATCAATTTCATTCTCTATCAAACAATAATCCTCAATGTAATTATGAATAATTATCCTTTAGAGGAAAATGAGATTGAAGATGAACTCAATCAATTTAGATAATATAATTGAAAAAAAATCAATATCATTATTATTTATTGTTTCAAATTTCTAAATATTATAATCAAATGATAGAATTCTCAATCTCCAATTTTAACTTAATATCTTCAAATGTTATTCTATTTGAAGTATCATAGATGATCATTAATTGAATCAATTATTGAATTTTTAGAGGTATCTATTTAAAATATAATTTATTGCTACTTCTAATTTCATTTCAAACCCATTTTGTTAAATTTATCTAAAAAAATATAATTGATCTCCTGCTGTTCTATATGTATAAGGCAATTTATTGCAAAAACCAAAATACAATACTAAACCAAGCTTATAAATTTATATTAAATAAATACTGAAAATACATCTTTAATTCGAGTTTATTTTTTCTCATAAAATACTTCTGGAGCAGAGTATGCTTTGGCTTCACCATCTATTAATTCGTACAACTAAGATATACCATAATTTGTTAACTTATCAAAATAGAATAACATATACTTTATAGATCTTATTCTTAACTAAAATATTTATTGGTTTCAGTTCTCTTAAATCGAGATCATCATCAATTAATGTTTAATATCCTTTTAAGAATTATCTCAAAAATTCATAGGTATCCTATTCAGTTAGTGGCTTTTTTTGAATTTATGTTTTAAAATTAGAATCACACTTTTCCATAATTATGATTAAATGATTATTGTGTTCAAAAATTTCATAATATTTTACAAGGTTTGGATTATTAATACTTTTCAGTTTTTCTATTTGTAAAGATCTTGGTACTTTAGTATTATAAAATATTTTAGCACAAACGGGAATTTGTTTATTAAGTTCATTAATACAATCATAAATTACAGAATGTCTTCCTTTTCCTATCAATTTATCACTTAAAATTATAAAGTTTCCTATTTAAATAGGCGATTTTTAGTGTTTCATGATCATTAAAAAATAATTAAAATATTTTATTTTTTTCAATCATGTAATTAACGGTTTTATGTGTTCAATGTATAATTATAAACAATAAAATCTATCTCAAATGAAAATTTTATTGCTTTTCCCTTTTTAAAGCCTATCGTTTTAATGGAACTTTGTATTTTTAATGTTACTATCCTATTTCAAGTAAAATATTTCACTTTTTTCAAAAGCCTTCAATAATAATAAAAAACAATTATAAAAATTTTTAATAAAATCTTGAATTTTGTTTTATTATTAATATGCAACTATTAAATTAAAAAAATTCTAATATTATATTCTACAAAGGTTTTGATTTAAAGATTGTTGTTAATAAAAATTTTTTTAATAATCTCCCTAATCAATCAAATTTTAAAGTAAATGTTATAATAGTTGTTACTAAAATTTCTCACATTCTATAACCCTAATAGAATATTCAACTATTTATATTGTATAAAGATTCTAATTTTTATTAAGTAATATTAACCATAGGAGTACATTATTTGTTTAGTTCTAATTGAAAATATAATCTAATCATCAATTTCAATTTTGACACTTTTAATAACATTCCTTATTAATTATAATTTGAGATTCTAATGTATTTCCATAATTTTTTTCAATAATCCTAATGTAATTATATGTTCGATGTCATTTTATTCAATATCATTTTAATAAATTTATAATATATTATTAATGATCAAGTAATAAATAAAAAATACTTAAATCAAAATTAAATTTATTTGAATTAGAGTTCTTGATTTAAGAAAAGACCAAAATCAGTATAATAGAATCTTTTTTAATAATTATCAGAAAACTCTTCAGAAATACTATATTATTAAAATTCTTCTTCAACTTATGAATTAAGATTCTAATCTATTCTTTAAATTTCTTCTTCAATTTTATTGATCTCTGTAGAAATTTTATTTTATTTCTAAATCACAGATGATGGTGGTTTAAATGGTTTGAAAGAAGGTTAGAAATATTGATTAATTCTTTTTTATTCATGTTTTATTACAATTTTGGAATTCTTCTTTTAAATTTAATTGGTTAGAATATTGTTGTTGATTAATGATTTTTATTTAAGTGTCTCTTGTTAACTTGAAAATAAATTAGTTTATTCAAAGTTTTATTAGTTATCAATTATAATTTTTTGATTGTTTTCTTTAGATTTTGATTTAACAATTTAGGAATAATTAGATACTTTTGTTTCTCCTGATCTTTCAAAAGATTCTTCTATATTTATTTTTGAAGATTATGATTTTTTAATAAATTTAAATACTTATTGATTTTTTTCTTTTACAGATGTTGGTATTTAAAATAAATCATTATCATTATCATTTATTTATTTTTTATCAATAATTTATTACTTATAATTTTTTGATGTTTAAGAATATGGTTTTAAATCTTATGGACATATTTTTCCATCTGCTATGTCTTATATTAACATATCTGTATAAACATTTCCTAAAAAATCAAGATTTCCTTCTAAAAGTGATTTCATCTATGGATATAAAAGATCTGTATCAAATGTATGAACTGTTACCATTTTTCTTTAGACTGGACAAAATACTCTCTAAAATAGAAAGGTTAGATACGCTTTCTCAAATGATTCAATATAATCAAAAGGAACAGATACTTTTTGCTTTCTCTAAAGATTATCAATAGCTTATCTATAGTTTTATGAAGTTGCTACTATTTAATAAGCTCTTTTGATTCCTATACCATTTATTGAACCCAAATAATCACAACCTGATAAGATACAAAAAGTTAGGAATTTTTGATGATGCCAATTTTAAAAATTATAATCACTACAAGTTTAAATGACTTCGTAATCAATTTCTTCACCATAACCAAATTTGTCCAATTTATAAAGGACTTTTTTAGCTCCATAAGCAATAAGATCAGAATCTTCAGTTATTATTACATCAACATATTCTGTTAATGATAAATATGCTAATTAAGCATCTGCTTCATATGGAGCAACTATGCATTCAATATTTCTAATTCTCAAAGCTTCCAATAATTTAGATGCCATCTAAGGAGTAACATCTATTGATTCTACTAATTTTTAATATGCTTTCTCTTTCTCTCCCTGCTATTTAAATTCTAAATGTTTTTAAAGATTATCATTTCTCTTTCTAATTAATATATATTTATATTACTTTTCCCGCTCTTCTTCTGTACATTTTTTGCTTGGCAATTTAGCTCCATCAAATACCATAATGACAGTAATGTTATATTTTTTAAGCAACTCAACTTTTTTTAGACAATAATTTATATGCTCATTAGTTTCTCTTCCATCTTATAATTCTTATGCACATAAAAATATTCCTTTATGTAACCTAAGTTATTATGTTTGAAATTACCAACAATATGTATCTACAGCTATTTTCTTATTTGAATATTCAGAAATATGTCTAGGCTTTGTGACAGATTTGAGAGCTTTTAATAAAGAATCTATTCCCATATTTTAAAAATAATATTTTTAACTATATTTCATCTACAACATCCACAAATGTAATCTTTTTATTCATACTCTCCTTTCTTCAATCCAACGCATGTAATATGATACCATTTTTAACATTTATCACACTTAAATAATGAATAAGAAAATACTTATATATATATTTAATCTGGATTTTGAGGTTATTTACAAGTGCAATGATTTTGTAGTTTAGATAATCCATCAAATTTCTTTTTTGTTGGTAACCATTCTAATCTAGTAAAAAATATTCCTTTATCAACTTAGGATGATGCTTCATATTCTTCTAATGTGACTATACGACAAGGAGATAATATAGCAGATGCTAAAATATAATCATTACAAGAAGTGCTGAAAACTTCATTATTTGATATCCATGGTTTGGCTTATGGTTTAAATTTTATTATTTCACTTTTTCGATAAAACCTTACTTGAATTTTAGATATACCAATTAACTTCACATAAACAAATTAATTTTTTTGATTTGTTTTCCTTTATTGCAACAATCCTTTATATTTTGCCAACATAATCTTCAGACGGATTCTTTGCATTTTTTATTAAAGCATATTAACCAAGTTTCAACATTTAGGAATTTACTTTTATTTCATCATATTCATTAACTATTATAGATGTATCTTTTTCAGCCCAATTCACAATATCTTTGAATTGTTATTTTTTAAACATTTCTTTTATTTTTTAGGATGTAGATATCAAATTTTATTACTTTGTCTTAGTTATCTTTTTTTGCAATTTGTCTGCAGAATCTTCAGAATCTCCTGATTTACGAAAGAATTTGTCCTACATTTTTACTTAATTTTATACTTCTTTAAATTCTGCCATTTTATATCAAATAAATTATAAAAATAATAGTTAATTCAAAAGGCTATTTAGCTATTTAATTCTTTAAAAATAATTATAATGATTTCATAAATATCATTCTTAAGAAGAAATTAAAATTATTTCCTACATACATAATTCTAACTTATTGACATATGATTATACTTTATCAATTCTAAAGTAATTTTATCAATATATTTATTTTATTTTTTTATTAATAATGTAAATGAAAAACTTAAATGGAAATTCCGAAAATCATTTCTTATATAGATGTTATAGTTGATGATTTGTCTGAAACATTATAAATATCAAAAGGTGATTCAATCTTCATTCTACATCAAGTTGGATGGAACGAAATGAATTTAGGAGATTTGTTTTAAAAGAATATAAGAAGAATGAATCATTATGACTCTTAACTTATGGAGAGTGAAAAAACTTATAAATGCAAAAATATTAGTAATGATAAATAAATAATATAAGAGTCAATTTTTATAGTGAATAATAATATTATTAAATTTATTCACTCAAATAATTGGCTCGTTATTCAAGAGTCTAGTTAAATAATTATTTTATAAAATGAGTGCAATTAAAAATGAAGTAAAAAATTTGTCAACTCCAGAAAAATTGATGAAGTTGTCAAACAATCCAAAAGCCCCTTAAAAAATATTAGGAGAATCTAATAGGGTGAATGAATCAGACATAAAAAATGTGAAAAGAAAACTTTTTACAGATAAAGAAAATGAAGTGAATTTTATTACAAATTAATTTAATTGAATAATTTATTATATGCTAATATTATATAAATAGCGTATTAAATAGATAACCCATCATATATTTATGTTTCATACATTGACCTTCCTCTGAGAAATGCATCAGAAATTTCACTTTAATAACAAATATAAAGGGATAAAAAATAATGGCAAACTACAATTTACATTTGTAGAACAACCTTATAACTTGATAATTATTTGAAAAGTTTTTAACGATTCTGCAAAATTATAACTAAGATAAATACAAGCCTAACATATATTAATTTGGCTTAGGATTCAAATAATTTAGATGGAATTTAGAATTAAGATAATTTTAAATAATTTTTATTACTTATCCAATTATCAATAAATATGAAATATATAATAAAATTTGTGTAAAAATTATCCATCAAATTATTTATAATGCTTGATATTACTAACTTCAAAATTTGTTCTCAATTTATTCAAATTAAGGAATAATCTATTATTAAAACAATAATGTATATTATTTAGATCTTATATCATATTAAAATTTTGTGATTCAAAATCTAAATTATTTAGGCTTGTTACCTGATACTTTGATTCAAACATTTGTTGATTCATATTACATTAAATCAAAGTGTTAAATAAAGTCCTCAATCTAATTAAATGTAATTTTATTAATGGTCATAATCTTCTAAATTTAGAATTATAATAAACTTTTATTTTTATATTTAGTTATTCTCTGAAATTAATAAGAATTAATTTAACCTATGAATGAAAAATTTTGTTCTTAAAATTTTAATTTTATTCCATCAGTATATTGCACTTAAAGATAAAATGATATTTTTTTGATTCAAGAACATTGATCTTTAACCAAATAATATCAAATTTTTAAAAATAAGAGTTTAATTCAAACGGAAGAATTTGAATCTAATTTCTTATAAAAATGTTTTCATATGAAATATTACAAATTTTAATAAGAAACTTTCTTATAATTCAATTACACACTCTTATATTAACTATTTTGTAAGATTATAATAAAAAAACATACTTACTAAAATGAAAATTTCATTAAAAGAAATAAATTTCCTTATTTTAATAAAATTGATTATTTGTAAGTACCTCCTTCCAAATTTATGAAATTATTCTTAAATTAAATTGAGGAAGGCTTTGTTGACTCTAAAAGAATCGATTAAAACTGATTTACAAAAAAGAAACTAGATATAGTAAATTTTTTATTATCTCTATAAATCAGGGGATTATAAATATTCTAGATTTAAAATGATGTTGAATGATTAGAGAAAATAAAAAATAATTAAATTAAAATGATAACTGACAAATGTGATTTTTTGAAAATGTAAATGTAGTAATTAAGCATTATTAATTGATTATATATTCATATAAACTATTTGTTTTTATCAAAATTACAAGGATCCAACACGATTGTAAGATTTCTTTTAAGGATCATCTAAAATTAAATTAAAAGTTTCTCTTAAAGTTTTAATAAACACAGGTTTAACAACCACATGAAGCATACCAGCTTATAAACATTATTCTATAGATTCTGCATCTCCATGTGCAGTGCAACCAATAATAGGAAAATATGCCAAATTTAGTTTAATCATCTCTTCAACTAAATATTTTGTTGCAGCTATACCACCCATAATAGGCATATCAAGATCCATAAATACAACCTAAATTTCATTTTACTTTGCTAGAGCTATATTAATTGCTTATTAACCATCAAAAGCCTTTAGAAAACTTCTAAAACCCATAGATTTTAACATCAAAATTAATGTATCATGATTGAATGGTTCATCATCAACAATCAATATTGATTTTGTAATTTGATCATTTATTGTTAAAAACTATAATTATAGTTGATCTTATTTTTTTTTTTGAATCCAATTCCTATTTGATGGCATTCTCATTTACACAACTAATGGTATATTAGCAAATGGTTCATCTATTAAATCATTTAAAATTGGTACACTTTATTCTAATCCAGAAAAGATGGATTTTTAAGAAATAAAATGATGAGTATTAATTTATTTAGAACTTCTTTATTTCAAAATAAATCCAATTGTGTATTATTCCATAGAGTTTTCAGCTGATTTATCCTTATTTATATTAATTTTAAACTTATATAAAATACCAATATTCTAAGTTAAACATAATTACAAACATTAAATGTTGAATTAATTCAAAGATTTTACTAATTTACTAGTTAATGATAAAGTTGTAAACATTTCTTATTAATGATGAGATTTCTTTTTAGATAGTTTAAAAATATTATCACAAACTATCCATTAGTTTATTTCCTCTATCTCTTTTTAAGATAATTCCAGTCCACTATCCTATATTGCAAATAAAGCTTCTTCATTATCTTTATCAATATTTATATTTAGAGAAATTATCCCATTTTGAGTTGTATTTCTATATGATAAATTTAGTAAATTGAAAAGTATTCTTTCAAGTTTTAGAACATCTGAATATATGTAGATACTAAATTAATTAGTATATAATTTACTTATCTAATTTAATATACCTCATTTCATTTATAGTAAAGAGTAAATGAATATTTTTCATTGAACATTACTAATGAATTAACTCTTACAATGACTACAATAAAGTTTTTAAATTAATTTTGCATATCTATAAACTGTAACTGTCTTAATCAGAATTCAAATATTCAAGCAAGTCTTGAATTTAAAATAATAATAATTTTGAATTTATATAAGCAGGTTTGATGTAATGATTTTGAATATGAGAATCTACTTCATAATCATAATAAGCTTATGCTAAATGTCCTAAGATTGCATTTAAAGGGGTCTTTAATTTATGAGTAAAAATATTTGATATATCTTTCTTCAAATGTAAAAATTTTTCACATGATTTCCTATATATAGTAGGATCTATTCTTATAAAAAATAACACTACTGATTCAATGTTATATTTTGATTGAGTAACACGGTATTTTGTTTTTATTTTTGTTTGCTAATCTATTAGTGTAGCTATATACCAATTCATTCCTACAGAATCAATTTAATCAGATATTTCCAAATATGATATGAAATCTTCAGTAGTATGAAATTTCTTTGTTCTATTCAACATATTCTAATTTGAAGGGGAATTACTTAATTCTTAATTCATATAAACTTTGAATTAACAAATATATTGTTAATTATTTTAAATATATTCAAACTTTTTAGTTTCATCTGTTTATGGATGAGTAAATGCTAATTTTTTATTTTTTGCAAAAATTTATATAAAGCAATTTTTTTTAATTTCATTCAACAAAATCTCATCCATTAGACTTAAATTTTCATTTGGTTTCTAGTTTTAATAGATGAAATAAATCATATAACAAAAGCATTAAAATATTTCACTACCCATATTTAATTCTAAAGCTGCTTAATATTGTAAACTATAAACAAGTATAAATAATAAAAGAGTTAAAAAGTAGCAAAGAATTGATTTTGGTTAATTTTTCTTGAAATTAGCATTAAGTAATTAAAATGAAGACCAAAGTTAAGCAGAACCGTAAAAATAGGCTCTATAAATAATGAAACAACACTATATAACTTAGGAAATGTAAAAATAGTTGTTATATTTAATCAAATTCAGATAGATGACTATGAATATATTGTTAATACAATACTTAATGTTAAAAAGAAGAGGATTACGCTGGTTATGATTAATATCAAATTTTCATCTAAGCATCCAATAATAATGTCATGTCCTATTTATGACATCTATAACACAAATATTGAAATATATTATAAATACATGAACAAAATAATTATTTAAGGACAATTATGAATTGTTTTTATGCATACTATGGATTTATTAAAATATTATATCTATTTTATGATAAATATATTAAATTGCATAAGAAAGAATGTAAAAAGTTTAAATTTCAATATTTTTCTAATGAGTTTGACATTTACACACTACGATGCTCTTATTACTAATGTTCCTCTCTAATTTATCTATAAGCTTCTTGTAGGCTCTTTATAAAAACAGGTTTAGTAACTACATGTGACATCCCAACTTTTAAACATTTTATTTATGTTTCAAAATCATCATGGGCTGTACAACCAATAATTGGAATATAGTCTATTTTACCTTCAGTCATCATTTTAATCAAAATTTATGTAGCCTAATTAATAAATTAATTATTTACTTATAATCCTCCCATTATAGGCATATCTAAATCCATAAATATTGTTTTTATTAATGTATGATTTTATTAAACCATATCAATACATTCTTATCCATTAAAAGAATAGAAGAATTATTTATGACCTAGTTTTTATAACATTAAAGTTAAAGTATTATGATTAAATGGTTCATCATCAACAATTAAAATATAACGATTATCTTAATGATAATTTATTCCATTCTAATTTATTTGATCAATTATATGTGATAATTATAAATCTCGTATTCCAGACAAAGTTGGTCTTTTTACTGGATTTGTTTATTATTTATAATCATGATTTTAATAAGTCTTAGATAATCGAGGTTTAACAGGTTTAGGTTCTTCTTCAATAGGTTCTATGCATTCATCCTATTAATTCTTAGAAAAAATCGATCTTTAAGATGAGGAATTAGATGACCTATTTAATTGATTTTATAATCTAATTGAAGATTATCTAGATTATTTAATATAATTCGAATATTTAATCTGTTCTAATGATCCTTCCTTAGATGTAGAATTTATAATTATAAAGAATTCAAAACTACAACCTCCTATTTATTTATGATTTTTAACTTACAAAGAACAATTTGAATCACTAAGCATATATATTAATCTATTAGTTATCTACAAAGTTAATCCAAATTTCGATTTACTTTTTGAGGTTACATATTTATTAGTTATATTGTATTTATTTTGTAATTATGCTTGAGTATTTATTAAGTGTACTTAATCTTCTGGTATTCCTTCTCCATTATCATTTATTTTTACATGTAATTTATTATTTATAGTATCATATACAAGATCAATTGTTAATTCTCCATTTAACGGTGCAAATCTATATGAATTATTTATCAAATTAAATAAAACCCTTTCAAATTTTTGACAATCAGAATAAAGATAAAATTAACTAAGATTTATAATTTTCATAAATTATACCTATCATGTATTTTCCAATCAGATCCATTTATCATAAACTTTATGGAAATATTTTTTATTTTGCATTAATATTCGATAAATTCATAAATTTAACTTAAAGATTATTAAAGATTAAATTTAGTTACTTACAAACCAATTTAATCTTACTCAGTATTCAAATAATCCAACAAATCTTAAACTTAATACAATTATATTTTAGAATGAATATATGATGGATTTATATAAGACTGTAAGACTGTTTTTTCTAAATTTCTGTCATTCTTAGCATTTGATAAATATCCTAAAGTTGCATTAAGAGATGTTTTTAATTTATGTGTAAAGTTATTAGCTAATCTAGCCTTGAATTTAGCCATTGAATTATGTTGTTTTCTTACAATAGCAGAATCAATTTTAATAAAAGCAATAATATAGTATTTTTTAATCTCTGTATTAATAATAACCTTGAATTTCTATTTTTTACCTGAATCCATATCAATTTCTGAAGCAATTATTAGTTTATCTTCACTTTAAGTTTATTAATTCTAAACAAAACTATTAATAAATTCTTTTAAGTCTTTATAACTTTAATATTTGTTAGGACTATCAATTACTGAGTCTTCAGATTCTTCTAATTACATGTCACTATTTAGAAAACTCTTAATTTTTAATTCTTTATTCACTGAATTAGGTATTAATTCAAAGTTTTCTGATTTATTTCTTGTTGTAAAAATGATTTATCCAGAAGCATGTTAAACATTTCTTAACAATACATTTGGTGTTAAATCTTATAAATTTCTATTAAACACTTTTATATAGCTATTTTTTAACAATTACTTCATTATGATTGATTCTGCAACTGAGGCTATGTCATTTTATTTAATAAAACAAAAGAACTGATATACAAGTATTATACAAGCAGAAGATATTGAAAACCCAAATGTTTTAGGCACAATTAAATCATATTGAATTACTTCTAACACAATTTAGAAAATTATTATGGAAAATGAAGCTATAAAATAGTAATTCACTTTTTGGAATAAGTTCATGATATAATAAGCTTGCCAAATATATAAAGTTCCAAATATAGTTATAGAGATTGTATTATAAATTAACGAGAGTATGATTTCAGAGTTAGATATTCGGAATTTGATCTTCAGTAATTGTTAAACTAGAATATTGATATAAGTATTTACTTATAATGATAGTTAAAACAATCAAATAAATGATTGTGGGAATTTTAGATTGATTGAGTATGCAATATATTAAATCCTTTGAGCATAATCCTATAAGCAAATAGTTTGCAAAGTTTATTAACATCTTTAGATAAAAATAGATAAATTATTAATTGCGAATATTGAAATGAATTATTCATTCCTTTTATACAAATAAAGTTGATCTAATTAAATAAATTAACTCTTCAAGCTTTTTTATTATATTACTTTAGAAATAATTTATTTATTGATTTATTCAACTAATTCGAGGAAATTCTTGATTTATAAATATTGATTGTGATGTATAATAATGCTGAGAGTATTTCATATAAATTGCAATTTTCATATAAAAAATAACTATTTAATTTTTTATTATTAAGATTTAGTGATATTATAGTAAGAAAATTATAAAATTTGTTGATATATAATGTTTTAATGAATATTATTTAATAAGAAAATCTGAAAGGAGATTCTAAAAGTTCGCAACATTAGATTATATTTTTAGTAATTGATACCATCAAATACTTTAAATTTAATTGATAAATTTTTATATAAATTAATTAATTTTTTGAAGACAGTTAATTTATATACTGATCAACTTAAATGAAGTCTAGATAACATTTAATGATTCTAAATCAGAAAATTAAATATAATTTTTAATATTACAGGAAAAAATTTTGCTCAAAATATTCTTCCATCTCAAAGAGTAAGTTGGGTAAAATTCGTTTAAATTTCAATAATAGTTCAAAAAAATTTAGCAAGATGAGTACAAATTAGTATTTATTAAAATCATAAAAATACTTAGATATATAAATGTCAATCATTTCTAATTCTTAGATATTCTTTAAATTCTCTCTAATTTGCACTAAATAATCCAATAACTTAAGAAACTAATTATCTCTTTCTATCATTTTATTCTCTACTTTATTTATATTCATAAGCAGCTTAAGAACATTCTTTTCTTCTATCTTCTTTAGTTTATTTCTTGCTATCAATTCTTGCATTATAATCTGATAAATCATTTTATCCCATAGAAATTTAATTATCTAATTATTCTAATCCTGCATCAATCATAGATTTATCACTTTAAACTTACTATAAATCTTTTTATAAAGATGAAATCTCTTTTTCAAATATTTCTTTTCTCTTATCTTCCTATTTTCTTATTAAAGACATATTATCTGAAACATTGATTAATAATTCATCACATAATGATTTTAATTTATCTGCTCCTTCATTTTTAATTTTGGCTGCTACTTAAACAAATAATCCAAAAACTTCTTAATATCTTGTGTTCTATCTGAAATTTCTACTTTCATCGACAGCATTTTCCAAATCATCCATTAATGCTTCATGATTGTCAATCTAGATTAAGTTTATTCCATTTAGAGTAAATTTCTTTTTAACTTCTGAAATAACAGAAATAACATAAGAATTTTCATTCATCTCTTATTCATATCTATCTTATTCTTAATTTCTTATTGTTTATTTCTAGGATAGTAATTCTTAGATTTATTTTAACCATTAATCTTTAGCATTAGCAACTTGTTTCTTTCTTTATTAAGCATTTTTTAATTCATCAAGTTTTCCTTATTTCTCAACAATAGATAATTATGTTTAATTGATTTCACTATCTTAATTAGTTAAATCCTAATGATAATATTAGTTTATACTTCATCACATTTCTTTTAAAATTATTAATTAGAAATGTCATCATCTTTTTATTCATTATCAATTTAACCTTCTAAATCACGCATTAAATCAACTACTTTTTCTAATGATTATCCTCCTTATACATTTATTTCCAATGTATCAATCAAAGTCTTACCAAAATCATCTTTGTCAATCTAATTTACCTTTTATTTAAATAATTACTTCCATATATTCAAAATAACGACCATCTTCTACTGCAATACATGCTAGTAATAGACACATCCATAAAAATTATTTTTTCATCTAATTAAAAACGATAATTATATATATATATTAAAACTTTGATGAACCCTGAAACACTTTAATCATTAGAATAATAATTCAATATAGCTAGTTTAGTTTATTGTTTATGCAATTTATCTAGATAAGAATCCTGATGAAATTGTGAGTATCCTTGAAAAGGCTTTAAATGATTAATAAAAGGAAACTATCAATTAATTAGTGGCTCTAGATCAAGAAGTTGATGATATTATAAATTAAATCAATAAATTAGACATGAAATATGTCGAATTTGAAGGTTTAATTGAAGCTCATACAGAACATATAAAAGCCATTAGTAGAGGAACATAAAATATGGAAAGTTATCTTAAAGTATTGGAGATTCGTATAAAAAATTAAGAATAATTAAGCGAATATATTAAATGAAAATATTATAATTTATATTCTAAATGAAGTTGTAATGTGATTGAGAAACCATCATTCCTTTAATTTTAGTAACCGTGTTCTGTAGTTGAAAAAGTCTTCTGTTTTAACATATAGTTGGTACTATATTAGTTTCAAAAACTTTTTTTCCATTTTGTTGAGAACTTATCTATTGGTTTCAAAAATGATTGGATAAATGTTTTAAACTAGATTGTTATCATCGTACATCTTAAGACTTAGAATTATAGCTGTCATCAGAAGACTTTCCAAATATAAATGTTACTAGTTACTTGTAAACATTTCTTCGATTTAGATAAAACTTGTTCTTTGTTGTTAATCGATCAACCAAGAACAACCCCATAACGAAAATTTCATCATTTACACCCATTCTTTAAAGAATAACTAAATTCTCAATTATATCTTACTACCTGATATATAATTTTATATATTTTTACCTTATAAAAATATTAGGGCAAATTCCTTATCCTTTGCTCTCTGCTAATTTATTATAAGCATATATCTTATTCAATAATATTTATATCTTATTAATCACGATGATTTATGAAACAGCTGCTCCACCTTTCATAAATTAAAAATTAAAAAATTAAAAACCAGATGCTGCTCAAATATTGGTCAGAGCCAAATTATTATACAATTTTTACTAGTTATTAATTCTATGTTTTAAATCACATCTACTTCATCATTAGTATTTTACTATTGATAATTTTTCATGATATAATACAAACTTCTTCTTAAGTTAAATTTACACATAATAAGGATTGTATTTATTATCCTCAAATATCATCTAAATCAATTTTCTATATCACAAAATAATAATTGAACATTAAAGTAATACATAAACCTAAATACAAAGTTATATCCATTGCAATTATTTTGTTGGAAAATGACTACTTAATCTACAGATGCATTAATGAATCTGTTTTTGCATGATAAAAGCTGATAAAATAATTTATAAATCATTCAGAAATTGAAACAGACAAGTTTTCTTTTCTTTCTTCATCATCTTCACTCTCAGATGTAGAACTCGAACTTGAACTTGTACCAGAACTTGAGCTTGACGAATCTGAACTTGAACTACTCGTTGCTAATATGTTTCGCTGTCTATATGAATTATAGTTGGTCAAAAGCATTGAACTTGGAATTGAAAATGATTCCAATGAATCATGGATTATACTTTATTAGTCTTCACTCACTTATTATTCAGATTCAGAAGAATTTGTATCACCTCCATCCTTCGTTTCTTCCATATCTGGTTCATTATTTTAATTACTATTCGTCTTTATGACTTTACGAATCGGATCCGAAATTATCAAATCATCTCTATTCATTCTAAAATTTTAATTTATTTATATATAAATTTCTTTTTATTAGAATATAATATCAGGCATTATAAAAAAAACTATTTAAATCTTATACCAATCTCTTCATTTCACTCATATTACAATCACTAATCTACTTAAATTTTATTTTTACATTTTTTAAATTATCTAACTTTTTACTCCAAATAATATAAATCAAATGACTATTCTTTACTTTCATTCCATTATTATTAAATTCTTATTTTAATTATCCATTTCTTATGGGTTTTTAACTATTTATATACTATTTTAATATCTTTATAAATTTTATTAAAAAATGAGACTAATTTGAATAACTCTAATGTCTTAATTTATCAAGGTTAACATTTCATTATTTAATCTTCAATTCGATTATTATTTAGAATATGTAATCAGAATTATATTCTAAATTGTTGAATAAATATGAATTGCAAAATTAATTAATAAATAAATTTTAATATTTATTTTTGATATTATTTTTTATTTATAGAATGGAATTATAAAAATTTATGAAATTAAACAGATTTAGATATTTATCAAATAAATTAGCTAATTCTTAAATTTTCTAGAATGATTTTAAATATTAAAAAGTATTATTAAGAATAAATTTTCTAATAAACTATCTTATTAATTGTTAAATAAAAATCTTTATATTTATCAAGCAGAACCATATAACTAATTGTTAATGGAAGTATTGTAGATTATATGATAATAATTTTGTAATAGTATCTGTACTGATTTTTAATATATGTAAATTTGATTCGTTTTACCTATTCTTTAAATCTATTTGACTGTTGTTTTACTTATAATTATTAAATTGAGAAATCTATAAATGTATTTGGACAAGCAAATTGAAAGTTATATCTATAATACAGGACATATTATAGGAAAAGGTAGTTTTGGGTGCGTTTATAGAGGGATCGATCAAAATAATTAAAAAGAGGTAGCCATAAAAGTTGTCAAAAAGGCAAAGTTGTAAGGGTAAAATAAATAATTATTTAAGAGAATCATATTCATTGAAGGCTTTAATAAATGAAATGACAATTTTGAAAAAACTACGTTCAAAAAATATAGTAAGATTGTTGGATATTTGTGAAAGTCAGTCAAATTATTACTTGATATAAGAACTTTGTAGATAGGGGGATTTGAAAAGGATTTTAAAACAAAAATAGCTTGAAGAATAAGAAGCAATTAGAATTTTACATGATATTCTTTCTGGATACTAAATTTTATTAAAGAATGAGATTGTACATAGAGACATCAAACCTGCTAACATATTAAATTGCAATGGAATATATAAACTTGGAGATTTTGGATTAGCAACTCAATTATAGAAATAGATGATGTTGAATTCACGTGTTGGAACACCATTATATATGAGTCCATAAGTTTAATAAAATAGTAATTATTCGAATAAATGTGATATATGGTCAATTGGTATTCTATTTTATGAATGCTTGTATGGTGCAAGTAAATTAATTTATAATGATTAGCACCTTGGTTTCATGAAAAATCTTAGAAAATATTAAAAAATATTTATGAACAACCTCTTTCATTTCCATCAACACCATTTGTTAGTGATATCAGCAAATCATTCATTAAAAAATGTTTAGAAATAAATGAAGAAGATAGAATAGATTGGATAGATATTTACAATCATAACTTATTTAGATAAATTCCATTTAAAATCTAAGGTTGTAATCCTCAATTAATTGTCACAAAAATTAGAAACATTATAAAAACAAGATAATTAAACATAAATTAATTAATTTAAAATAGTACACAGCAAAAGAAATTGAAAATTAGTGATCTTGAATTATTTTTATAATCTATAGATTAACAATTTACATCAGAAGATGCTGAATAGGTTTTTGATAAATTAAATCATAAAAATGAAGATTCTATTCCATTTGAGTGTTTATTATTATGGTTCAGTTAAAATGATGTAAATAGATTAAATATAATAATAGATAATCTCACCTTAAGCTTAAGATAATGGTTCTCTTCTTTTAACATAAAATGATTAATCCATAGTTAATAACCTATTAAATTCATTAAGTATTCAAATTAGATTAAATTCGATTTCAATAATTGAAATATTGAAAGATGTAATTTATAATAATAATCATTTAGCTTAATGTTCATGATGATGAAGAAATAACTCTAAGTAAATTCGAACAAATTTTGTTTAAAATTGATACTTAATTATCCAGAGCTGATATAATTACATTTTTTAGAAAAATTAATGAGGAAAACTTAAAAAGTATAAAAAAAGAAGAAATTTTAAAAATTTTTTATGAAGAATCAGAATTAGATGATGCTGATCATGATGATTTTTCAATTTCACCAGTACACATACCAATATAAGGACCTGGTTAAAAATTGTTATCCTTTAAGAATTTAGAAAGATTATCTTGATTACTTTTTTGTTTGATATGACTAATTTTCTTTTAAAAAAAATAATAATAATAATAATAATAATAATATTTTGGATATAATTGTATGAAATCACTCTGATAATTTGGAATTGATGTATTCAATTAATCTATCAACTATATCTATTTCAGTTTATCTATAATATTATAATATTAATTATATACCTGCTAACTTTTTAATTGCTATATTCTGAATCTTCTAATTCATTAATTTAAATAGCATCTTAAATGTTTAATTGTGTAACTTCAACTAAAGCATTTGAAATATTAATTAATCCATCTAATTCATTTAATCTTGATTAGATTTCTTTAAGTCTATTATTTGCAGTAGCTAAAGAGACTTATAAAGTTTATTTTTCATTTCTCAAATCATCACCTAATCTAGTTAAATTTTCAACCTATTTATATATAATTATATATATTTACTTAAGTTTTATGATTGGATTCTAATTAATCTTAGCCTTCTTGGAGTGCAGTGATCAAACGAGCAACTAAACTTAGAACATTATTTAATGTTTCTGGGTTAACTTTAGTAGTCATTTCAGCTAATCCTTCAATGATAGGTTAGAATAAAGTTAATGAACTCTTTTTAGTGTGAGCTTCTAATATTTCTTTAATTTTTTAAAAGTTTTCTTTAGTTTAGAGGAGATTGCTCTTTGTATCTTAACTAAAATTGTATATTAAAAATAAGAAATACGTAAGTTATATTAAAGATGCTCCTTCACCTCTTAAATTCATTAATAATCTTTAAGCTTCTTTACATGCTAAAATGGCATCACTATAATCAGAATATTTGGTAGCAAAATCAGCATTTTCAGCATCAAGTCTAGATTAAGCATCACCACTTCCTCTACTGTTTCTATCTAAAGCAGCTTAATCTATAAAATTATTATAATATTAAAATAATTACCCTCTTTTACTCTTGTTTAAAGAGTTGTCAATTCGCTATTTAAACTTGATTACTCTTATCTTTGATTGTCTAAATCACTTTCTGCTTATTCTAGAGTAGCTTATAATTTAGCTAAATCAACTTGACTTCTACGAGTGAAAGTAGCATTTTCTTAATCTTATAATTAAGTAAGTGCAATAAGTTCATCTTTAATTTATTATAAGAGTTATTTCAACTCATTCAGGGAACCACCAGTCTTCATATTCACACTTATTAAATTCACCATAGACTTTCCAAAAGGATGATCTCCATATTAAGAAAGTCTTTCTGACATCTCTGTTATGGTTGTAGCATATGTCAATGCAATCAAGGCTAACACAAGAATGTGCTTCATTATTTTTTAATTTAATATTATTTTTCAAAAAACGAATATAATTATGTATTTAATAAAAAATCTGAATTTTCTTCTTTAAATAGACTATCTCATTAATTAAAGACAAAAATGTTATTAGTTTTCAAAAACTCTTCTAATTAGTTTAAAAAAAGTTGAAATTTATTAAAAATATAGCGACGAATATTATTCAAATATAAAATTTCAGAAGCTCATAAAAAGTTCTAATTCATCTTCTTCATGCTATTATATTTTAAATAATTTTAAAATAGGATTCTCATCTGAATTAAACACAGCCTACAACTTTATGAATTCTTCTTTATATTCTTCATAAGCTTGACTGTTTGCTAATGATAAGACATTTGGTTCTCTGTGTAAAATTGAATACCATGATTATAGCAATTCTAAGAGACTATACTATTAAATAGCATATGATTCATTGATTGTTGGTGTGCATAATCTCATATTTGGATATATATGGGGATGCTTAAGGGGAATTAAGGATCGAAATGAAGGAGCAGCATATGGAAAATTTTCAGGGAATTTTAGGAGAAAACTATAGTTTCCCCCTTCATACAAAGTATCAATTTTGCCTTTCATAATAATAATTAATATGTGGTTTAGTATATTATCTTCTACTTTTAATTAGTAAACTTTAATATGAGTTAATCCTTTTGAATAAAATTCTTTAAGTTCATTAGATATTCTCGCCTATGCCGTATATAATAACTTTTATCCTTTAAAATCTAATTAGAGAATTTCTAAAAGTTATTATTTGTATTCATGTAAATCTACATCTTTTTATTTGATCAATTCTGTTATATTGACAACCAAATCAGTTTATTCTTATAAGAATTTATCTAAATTCTTTAAATAAAGTTCTTGTTATGATTGTTACATCTCGAAAAAATAAAATTTCTTTAAATAATTTTGTATTAGAATTTTAATTAGGTTTTTATATTTCCTCAATATAATTAAAGTTAAAAGGTATTTTTTGATTGAAATCTAAATATGCCTAATCTCTTAAAATTTATTGCGATATAAAATATATTTATTTAATTAGAATACTATTAGATGAAATTTATAATTTCTGATATGTTAGAGAATAAAATAAAAAAGAAAATTAGTAAAATGAAATGGAGATTTAAAAATGAAAATAGGTATAAATAACTAGAAAGAAGAGGTCTAATGGTTTTAAAGGTAGGAATGAGCAGATTTAAAGATTATGTGGATGAGAATTATTAAACAATTAAATTTTTTAAATCCGTTTGTATATGGTAATGTGCAATAAATTCAAAACGGCTAATTGATGAAAGATGTAAATGAAAAAAATGAGAAGATAATATTTAATTTAATGAAAGCAATATTGTTATTAGTTCTTGCATGCACAGCATTAGCAACAACAGAGACAGAATACATTTAATTGATTCATAAGATTGATGCAACACCATTTGGAAGAACATTATTTGATACAATTTATTTGTAATTAGAAACAGGAGATCCCTTAGACAGATTACTAAATACCTTATCAGACTTAGAAGATAGATATTAATAAGAATAAAGAGAAGATGATGCTGAGAATAGAGAATTCTAAGATTCATGCAACGTTGACATTTCAGCCTATGATAAAGACATTGCCAACACAGATTCAGAAAGAATCTCTATGGAAGCAAGACTTGAAGGTGATTTATATCCAAGAAGAGCAATTATTACTGGATTAGTCACAGCAAAGAAAGCAGAAGTCAAGGGTATTAAATGAGTTAATATATTTGTAGGTTATTAAAAAGAAATAGATGAATTAGATGCTGAAAGAGCTGCTTAACATTAAGAATTTGAAGAAATCGCTGCTGATCATAACACTGCAATTGCTGTTTTGACTGAAGCAAGAAATATTATTAAAGCAAATGTTGAAGCTACATCATCATTAGTTTAAAAGAAGGCTACTTAATAAGTTAAAGAAATTTCATAAGATCATATTTCATTATTCTAAAAACATATTAAAGAATCATAAAGAAAATTATCACATTCTAAACACATGTTGAGATATGTTCCTGTTATGAAATTGTTGAGTTAAATTGCAAGCAAAGCTAAGTTTGATGATAGCACTATTTAAAAGTAAAATACTAATTAAATTTCTTAGGGTTATTGATCTCTTCGATAAATTAATTAATGAAGTTAGTGATTCATTGAGTTTATAAAGATTTGCAGAAGACAAGAGAGTTGAAAATTATAATAAAACTAGAAAATTCTTAGTTATTGCTCTTACAGTTGCTGGATCAGAATTAGCTAATGCTGAAAGTGATTTTGCAAGTGTTTCAGATATCATCAGATAAGTTGAAGCTTCTTTGGAAAATACCAATTAAAGACTTGAATTACTTCATGAAAGAAGAACAGATAGATGGACCTAATGTGAAGAAGCTGCCAAAGATTATGCTGATGCTAGATCTGCTAGGTAATGATATTTAATTAAATTAACAAAGAGATGCAGATAGACAAGTTGTTTCTGATACAATTGGTTTAGTCAATAAAGCCTTAAGAACTCTTAGAGAATAACTTGCCTTAAGACAAGCTGCTGGAGATAAGATTTGATAAATATGAAAAGCATCGATTAATATTAATAATGAATTAATACCCTCATTCGTATTCGCCGATTATAAAACAAAAGCATCGATTGATAGTTCAACAATTAAGATTGAAATCAGTGACTGTGGATGCAAGAAGAACGTTTGTGCTTTCCAATCCTCATTCAAGGAAATAGATTCTCTCTCCTCTTGCAAAAAAAAGATCTGAGCCATTGAATTTTTGTATAAATGGGAAAGGTTAAATAGAATGTTCTCATCCTCAGAAGATAAAGAGAAAGAGAAATAACAATTCTGAGTATTAAGCAGCTGCTACTTATTATGCTGGAACACCATTTACATAGAGGAATAAAGTATGTGATACAAGAGTTGAGTCTATGTTTTGTATTAGAAAATACGAGCTATTAAAAAAATAGTTGAAATGATAAGTTTTACTAAATTAAATAAAAAAATGAATTCTATCTTAAATACTTATAGTCCATTATCTAAAGAATTATATAATGAATATCGTGGAGAAGTGATGAGAGATGCTCTCTCTACATAAAAAGTGTTAGTGATAGGAGCAGGAGGATTGGGTTGTGAGATTCTAAAGTGTTTGGCATTGAGTGGAATAAAAGAGATTCATGTAATAGATTTGGACACAATAGATTTGACAAATTTAAATAGATAATTCTTATTTAGAATGAAAGATGTAGGAAAATATAAGGCAGAAGTGGCAGCTGAATTTATAATGAAAAGGATACCCTCCTGTAAAGTTATACCTTACACAAAAAAAGTAGATTTTTAAATGTCATTTTTAGATTTAAGAATTCGGTATAGGTTTTTATTAAGAGTTTTCAGTGATAATAGCTGGTTTAGATAATATTGAAGCTAGGAGATGGATAAATAGAGTGGTTATTTAAATGGTTGAGAGAGATGAGAATGAGAAAGTGATAGATGGCAGTCGTCATTATTTAATAGATGGAGGAACAGAAGGTTTAAATGGATAAGCAAGAGTAATATCTCCATTTGAATCAGCTTGTTATGAATGCACACTTAGTTAATTACCAAAACAATTATAATATTAAATGTGTACAATAGCATCCACTCCTAGACTTCCTGAACATTGCATTGCTTATGTTTATGAAGTATTATGGTAGAAAGAGTAACCTGATGTTAAATTAGACAAAGACAATTTCGATCATATGAATTGGATATATTAGAAAGCACTTGAAAGAGCTAAGTAATTTAATATAGAAGGAGTCACCTATAAATTAACATTAGGAGTTGTTAAGAATATTATTCCTGCTGTTGCTTCCACAAATGCACTTATAGCTTCTATATGTACTGTTGAATGTATTAAAATATTGACCGGAAATGGCAGTCAATTAAATAATTATATTTAATGGTATGGTCAAAACCATCAAACAGGAGTTGGCATTAATGTAATATAATAAGAAAGATTGGATGAATGCACTGAATGTTCTATTTAATAATTGTAAATCAAAGTCAAACGAACAGATCAGTTGTCTATTCTATTAACTCTACTACCTCCAGAGATAGAACTTTATTGTAATGGACAAACATTGATAACAAACAATAATCTGAGGAAATAAGGATTTGCACATCTCTTGGTTAAAACATTTTAAGAATTGATAGAATCAAAAATCATTTATGAAAATTCTGTTCTTAAAGCTATTGATAAAAATAAAACCATTAATGTGAGAATTCAATATGAATGAATGATGTATCAATATTAAATAAATAAATCAAATTTCATATCCTGGCATACCTTTATAATCTATGAAATCCATCATTGCACACATATCTCCTACACTTCCTATCATCAAACTAAATGGTTGATCTGATACTCCAATCATGTATCTATCATTAAATGGAAAATTCTTTATTTCATTATAAACATAAACATTTTTCTTATATTATAAAAATTAATAAGCATATTTTCTGTGTTTCTCATTTCCCATTAATCTATATAATTGCATAAATCCATAACTATTTCCTGGTATTCCATGACACAACCCAAATCCTTTCTTTATCATTCCAAATTTGTAAAGGTTTTCACTCATATGTATTGCTGCATCCAAATAATCTTATTTATTAAATATCTAATATGCTTTAAGAAGTGGAGCTATTGCGCCCGGTATTCCATGACAAAATTAATATAGTTTTAAATTATTTAAGTTTTAAGCTGAAGATGGAATATTACCATTTTAATAATATAATTTAATTAACTAATCCAATGTTTTCTAAATTGAATCTAACATCTCCAAAAGTCCCTATTCATCTTTTAAATGAAAATATTCTTTGCATTATTCATAACTCAATAACAGCATTTAAATTACTCCCAAAATCCCATGAGCTGCCCCAAAATATGATCTATTATGAAAATCACATTTCATTACACCCTTACCTGAAAATTTACAAATTATCTAACATAATGTATGAATATGAGAAGATAGATCCAATTAATATGGATCTTATTCATTTGAATATTTCTTATGTAACCTTAATAAAGTGTAAAGGTAGCCTGGGATGCCATACAATAATTCTTATTCTTATTTTTCTGGTTCAGCAACTATCGTACCAAAGTTTATAAGAGCTTCCATAGTACATTTCTTAAAATTCTCTTTGTCTTTCATATAATAAAACAATTCAGCCCCCAATAAATAAATTGTTGAATTGCTCATAAAAAATGATATATCTGTATCCTTTTTTATTTAAGCCTACAAAGCCTAATATTATCTTAATGCTAATTGTAAAGCTGTTTCAGGATTATAAAATTCTGAAAACTCTTAATCTGTCAATCCTTTTGTACATCTTTATTACATATCTGGACTTAATCCCTTAACAAATTCATAGATTCTCAAATACAAATATAGATATCCTCCTGCTCCACAAAATACACTTAAATCAATTCTTTCTTTTTATTTTTTAGAACATTTATCAGTGATACATCCAATAGGTACATTCACTCTAAACTCCTTATATTCCGTTATAAATTATTCAAACACATTTTCTATGTGATTCTCATCTGGAATAGGATTTGTCAAATGAAATTAAGTATATCTTAAATTCTGCGCTTACATTATAAATTAATATTTAATTTATCAATTTATTTATTAATATTCAAATTAATATCATATAAAGTTGTTTATAAACATTATATAATAAAAAGTTCAAAAAAATATCATTAAAACAAACGGATTTTATAAATTGCGTAGAGTTTTCCAAATATCGCTAGTAGACAAAATATATAGATGAGTTAAACAAAACCAAATTAATTATTACATTAATAAGATTCAGAAAAGCAATTAGAATATTTATATAACCTTATTTAATAAAAATGAATTATACCAATAGATATCCATAATGATAGAAATCCCCATACCTATTGAAAGAAAATTTACCTATTGAGTATTCCATTTTTTTAGTTAATAAGGAATTGTCAAAAAAACCAAAATCAAACCAAAAAAATCACATCTAGAAAAAGCTATGTTTAATGTTATCAATCCTATTAAAGCTAATAAAAGCTTAAACTATTGATTATTAGCAATTTGATGGAAATTTAAACCTAAATCATCAGGTTCTGTTAGCTCATGATTAAAGAAATTAAAGGCATCAATAAAATTATTCTAAATTGTATAATCCATCTAAATTGAATTAGTCTATTTTAGTTATATATGATTGATAGTTGTGTTTTAATCTTGTTAAGCAGGAAAATATTGCTATTACGAGAATGGCTATATCAATAATTTCTATTATGATTTATGTTATTCGCTGGTTGCTAGTTAGTTCTAACTCAATATTTTACTATTTGAAAAATTGTTTTGTTATTTATTTGCCTATTCTTAAACCATTTAATGGGTTAAATAGATAGGGATTTAAGGAAATTAGGAATGAGCATTTTTTTAACCTGATTATAAAAATTATGATTAACAAATTGATTATTATTAAGATTCCTTATAATTGAGACTCTTAAAATTTATAGAGGAATTATTATTGTAGAGCTATTTCATGAAAAACAATTTTTTCTTTAGTTATTTAATTTCATCTAAATATTAGTTAATACAGTTTTCAAAATAGGAAATTTAAAATGTTATTTATTCATTCTAAAATATTTAAGATAATAAGTAATACCCAATCTTTTACATATTATATTTTCATTATAATTTCTCCAACATTTTCAAAGAGGATTTTTTCTAATTTTTCAAATTCAAAATTTAAGTCCTTTTGAATAAGGATTTTACCTATAGATTGTTTTTCTAATTTGTGAATTTCAATTAACTCAATGGAAAAATTTATTTATTGAAGAACTTATTGAAGAGAATAATAAAAAATGTCTCCCCAAACAGGAAATTCACAATTCAGACTAGGTTTACTGAGTCTTTCAATACCATCTTAAGACTCATTGCATTGAATGACAACTTCAATTTATTTGGCAGCTTTCATAACATCATCTTGAGAATGATAAAATGAACTAAGACATCCTGATTGCAAGGTAAGTATAAATTGAGAACAATTAGTTTAAGTGAACTTAGATTTAATATCTTCTTATTGGATTCTGAATTTTTTGATTTTAATTTCATTTTATTTGATTTCTTCTTTGAGATTAGATTCTTTGTTAAGATAACCATGTGTAAATTCATCTTTAGATATCTTTTAATCTTAATTGGTATTGAGTTCATTGAAAATCTCTTAGATCAACTGTTGATCACAACCTTTTCTTTTGAGATGCAATTCTATTTCAGCCAAAGATAACCATCCACTTTAATCAATATCTAAAGCTTTGAATTCTGTTTCAATTTCTCGAAATCGTGCTATTGATCAAATTTATTAACTTGAATACATTAATCAAAGCTAGGGTCTGGATTAGTAGCTGGATAATTTTCTAATTTTTCAACGACCATTCTTTGTGGACTAATATAAACTTGTCTTTACATTTTAATTAAATAAATAAAAAAATGGATAGATCAAATTCTGTACCTCGTCTTGGATCAAAAATGGTAACTCCTTAAATGTAAGGTTAATCCTACAGAACTATTACTATGCCATAAGAATCTTCAAACTCTTAGATGAAATTTATAAATGATTTAGTTTAATAGTAACCAAACAGTTATCGATCTGCAATGGGAATTCCTCAGATATAAGGATAATCCTATAGAGCTACACAATAATCATATTTAAACCCTTAGACGAAATAACTGAATGATTTGATTTAATACTAGTCAAACAGTTAGAGATAAGCTGTTGGATAATAATTTGAATAACTTAGTCCTGGGGAAATAAATTAATTTTAGAGATAGTTTGAGAATGGTTAAATTTTAAATGGTTTATCTACGCTCTAAAATGAAGCTAATATGACATAGAAATTAATGGTTTAAATGAGATAATAGCAAAATCAACTTGCTCAACCAATTTAATATGTACAAACACCTCCTTCTCTTGCTTTACCTCCTCCACAACCAATTATTTATGTTTAATCTCCTCCTACTCCTACTACTCCTCCAGTCCTTCCATCTACTTAAAAGTATATTATGTAATATTGTTCAGAATGTTTGAATAAAGATTAAATAGTAACTATTTTTATTTTATTTTAAATAGTTAAAACAATAGGAAACTAAAATTGAATATTTACTTGAAGAAATGAATAAAATGAGTAGGTTTCTAGTAGATAAGAGTTAAGAAATTGAACTTTGGAAAAGATAGTACATGTCAATTTAAACAGTATACATTAATAATATGTAGGATCTTTCAAGGCCTAAAGTGATTGATAATTCAGAAAAGTATCTTAAAGAAATTAATGATTTGAAAAATAAATTAAATTCAAAAGATAAAGAAATTATATCACTCAAAACTAATATCAATCAAATGTAAGAGAAACTAGATCAAGATTAAGATCAATTATAATTGAGAGCAAGAAATAATGATGAAGGAGATTTAGAATAATTGTAAAAAGATTTATATGATGCGTAACAAGAAATTGAAATTTATAAAGAAGATAATGATAGATTGAATAATAAATTAGCTAATTTGGAAGCATCATTATAGAATAAGAAAACTGAAATTACAACAGTTTATAAATCTGATCCTGAAATGGAAAGATAATTAAAAGAACTGAGGTAAAAGTACACTGTTCTTTAATCTTAATATTACACTCTATAAGATACAAGCAAGATTGTATAAAAAGAAATTTAATATGAAACTAAAGTTATTTATTAACCTGATCCTGAAACAGAAAAACTTTTACAAAAGAAAATCTAACAATATGAAGAACTTTATTCTAGATATGTTTCACTTTAAGATTAATATGCATCGATATAATAAAAACAATTAAGTAGTGTTTATGAAACAAAAACTATTTATAAGCCAGATCCCGAAACAGAAAGGTAATTATAAATTAAAATTGAATAATACAATTAATTATATTAAAGATATAATCAATTACAAAACTAATATTATTAATTGGAAGACCGAAGTAAAATGATTTAAAAGGAAATTTAATACGAAACAAAAATAGTTTATTAGCCTGATCCAGAGACAGAAAGATTATTAAAATTAAAGATACAACAATTGGAATCCATGACTAGTAAATGCACAATGTTATAGGGACAAATTGAGATGACAAAAACATAAATAGAATAGTATTAGACAAGAATATATTAATTTGAAACAAGAAAATCAGAGAGTGAGAACAATTAAATATAGGTTGAATAGTTGAAAGAGTAGTTAAGAAGAGCTAATTCTGAAATTGAATAATACACAAGAAAGATTTATTAGTTAGAATCAAATAATGAATAAACAACATTTTTTAAAAAGTAGACCTCTGATCTTAAGATGTAATTTGAATAAGAGTAACAATTAACAATATAATTGAAACGCAAAATTGAAGAAATGAAGGCAGAATAATCTAAATATGAAACATATAAATTGAGGATAAGAGAATTGGAGGTTTTGGTTTAATAAAAGGAGGATAGAATTCGATAAATATAGTTAGAGTTAGATCAATATAGATCAGATATGATGACTTATTAGTAAAGAATATCTAGTTATCAAGTGAACATTGATAATAATGAAGCGCTGAAATAATAGATTCTTTAATGGAGAGAGAAGTATGAATAATTGGAATAAAAATAAAGATATTAAAATAATGAAGAGGTTAATTAATGGAAGATTAGATATGAATAAATAGAGTAGAGATATGTGTCTTTGTAATAAAGTTATGAAACCATTTAAATAACTTTGAAATAGTATTAAGAGAATGAGTAATCAGAAGTATTGAAGTTAGAAATTAAGAGATTATAAAAAACTGTATGATTAAATATATATAAATAGATTGTTGAATTGAGAAGTGAAATCGATCGATTGTTAATTTAAGCTTCAGATAATCAATGGTTGTCTTAAAGAAATGAGGAATAGTAATTATTGATTGAATAGTACAAATCTCAATTAGAGGAAAGACAATCAGTGTAACGAGAGTATAAATATGAAATTCAGAATGTAAATCAAAGAAATGAACATGCTTCTAGTCAAAAGATAGTAACAACTACTTAATAATCATAATCATATCCATCTATAACGTAATAAACTAAGACTGTAGAATATAATTCAATTCAACCAAAAATGAGTTAATATAGTTCGTATTAATCAAGACCTGTAGAACATACAAGTGTTTAATAAAGCACACAATAAAGATAAACTTATTAATAATCTCATTTTAAGTAACCATCTCAGGTGGTTCTAATGAATGAGTAAAAAAAAGTAATTATTTTGGTTATGCAATTAGAGTAGAGCGGAATAAGAGTTTAGTTCTTAAAGATGGAATGATAATTATGGAGTAGTGTTTAACGAAGTAACATAAAAGGAGAAGTTATTTTCATGATATAACAAAATAAATTAAATAAATAAAAAAAAGATTTTATTTTATGAACACTACATCAATTCCAGCAGAACGTACACTATTTGTTTCAAAATACCCTCAATAAACAACAACTGAATAATTAAAGAAAATATTTTCAGAATTTGGTCAAATTGAATAAATTATATCTCAAGGCTCAGGAGTTTGTATCATCTATAAAGAAAATTAAAGTGGTAATTAATTGAAAATATTAATTCTAAGTCACTTCTGCTCTATAAAAAGCAATAATTGTGAATGGTGAAGAACCCTATGTTTGTTAATACTTAAATATAGCATAGTTGGATCATGAAGCTAATGTCTTCATTGATAATATTGATAGAAAAGAGACCCAATCTTCTCTTCGCTAAATCTTTAGTTAATTTGGAACTATTCTCAGTGTCAAATTATAGAAATCTGATAAAGTAGGCGTTGCTTATATTTAATTTGACAAAAAGGAATCGGCTGATAGATGCATAGCTGAATAATCAAAATTAGGATTTAAAATTTAGAAGTATATTTTTAATCTTATTATGTAGGTTTACATCTAGAAAATAACACAGAGATTAAGTATATATAAGTAACATCAAAGTGTTACCTAATATTACACCAGATTAATTAAAGTCTGATTTACAAACATTTGTCTCTTCTTTCGGAGTTGTAGAATCACTGGTTTTAAATAGAAATACAACAAATGGGACATTTTTTGCATTTGTAAAATTCGTAAATTAGGACAGTGCGAAAGCAGCAGTCAAATCAAATAAATTGTTTAATGATCAATAAATTCATATTGAATGGGTTGTGAATAATGTAGACAAAGATATAGAAGCTAATTTATTTACTAAAAATTTAAAAGTAGATATTACAGAAGAAGATTTAAAGAAAGCAATCAACATATTAGTACCTGTTGAAGATATTAAATTGATGCCAGCAAAACAACCACCAAATGGTATATATAATTAATTATTAATTAGGTAACAGGCCTCCAACCTAAGTTGCTTATCTATATTTCAAAACAGCTGATGATGGTAAGAAATTGATTGCATATGCTTATGACCATCCACAAATTGTATCATTATATGTGAATGGAGTCATTTCACTTTCACCACTCTTACCACCCTCTGAAGTCAGTTCATTGTTTCAAGTGAAGAAAAATACATTTTAAAGGTAATTTAATTAGGCTCCTTACTAATAATAATAATATCAATAGTAAATGCCCCCTCCTCAATATTATTAATAATAATAATAGAGATATCCTTAACAATAACCACCAAGATAACATCATAATGGAAATCGTTATCCCCATTAAAAAAGGCCATATTATTAATAGTAATAATAAATTCCAGATTTAACCTAATTACAAATTATGGTTGATAGAGGCTAAAAATAGTAGGTTACTGATTTGATTGGAATGTAGCTATTTCCAAAAGTAACATAAGTTGTTGGTCCTATTAATGTATATAATATATTAAATAAAGGCACCATAAGTTACTGGTATTTTGCTTGATTTTGAAAATTATTAATTAAGCGATTAGGTTAAGATGATTCATGATTAAGCTTATTTGGGTGAGAATATCAGGTCAGCACTTGAAATTCTTAAGTGAGTATGAGTTTATTTTATTTTTTTGTAAAATAATAAATATGTAAAATGAAATAGCTATGTTAAAGATGCAAATGGGTATAATGGAAAAGGATTATAAAAGAAGAATTCAAATCCTAGAAGATAGAAATGTTGATTTAACATTATAATTAGAGGAAACCAGAAGAAGTGCAGAATAAAGAGTTGATAATCTCTACAAAGAAATGAAGTAATCAGCTATTTCAACTGTAAGTGAACCTATCATCAAATATGAATACATTAAGACACCTCAAACATCATCTATTAAGTAATTAAATAATTACAATTATCAATCTCAAACTTCACAGTAGTCAAATCGTCAGTTGGAAAATCTCAATCTAGTTTTAGAAACTAAAATGTAAGAAATCAAGGCTTTAGAGGAAAGGTTGTTATTAATGAAATAATAATACTAATAATAGTAGGATTAATTAACATAGCACTATGAGAATATTTTGAAGACAAAAATAAAGAATGAGTTAGCAGCATTAAACGTCTAACATGAAAAGTAGGTTCAGTAATATTAAATTGAAATTTTTAATTGGTAATACAAAATCAAAGGGCAAGATGAAAGGTTTAAGAAAATTATTGATGAGAAAGATAGATTGATTGAGGAATTATAATTTAGAATATCAGAATTTGAGAATAACGATCTCAAAGATTAAATGAAATAAATGCAAGAGGCAAATATTCGATTAAAAGAAGAATATAATATGATGAAGAAAGACTTCAATGCTGAATTAGAATTATTGAATGATAAACATTAAGGTGATCTATAACTTGCTTTCTAATAAGGGTTCGAATAAGCAGATAACAATTAAAAGGTTTCTTTAGAATTATAAAAAATTAATGGTTTATACAAATAAACTAATGAAAAGGCTTTGAAACTTGAAGCTGAAAACAGATAGATTAATTTATTACTAGCCACATATTAATAAGAAATCTAAGAATGGAAAGACAAGTATCAAACAACGATTATTAAATAAAAAGAAGAAATTGAAAAATTGAGATAAAGTTTTGATAGATAAAAAAAAGAATAATTAGATCTAACTTTCAATGCAGAATATTTATAAGAGAAAAATAAGCTTTTATTTTAATTAGAATAATGTAATAAATAAATTTAATAGCTTCAATAAATAAATGAAAAAAATGAAAGAGAATTAAAATCATTTTATAGTGAATAATTCAATTCTACATAATTAAATAATGAAATTTAATAATTGTAAAGATAATTACAAATAAGTACTAGCGATTTTGAAAATTACAAAAAAAAATCCGTCAAAATTGAAAAATAATAGCAAGATGATATTTCTAGATTAACATTGGAATTAAAAAATATTAAAAATAACTTAGCCAATAGCACTGAAGATAGGCATAAAGCATTATAAGAAAAATAAATTGAATTAGATCAATTAAAAACTAAACTCTATGAGTTTGAGCAATAAAATAGAAATTATGTAACTGAAATAGAAAGGTTAAAAAAAGAAATAAAACAATAAAAATAATAATATTAAGTATAAATTGAGAAAATGAATGAAGAAATAAGCTAACTAAATGAGAAGATTAGTTTATTATCTATGGAGAGATATAACTTTGAACAATAATTGGCTAAATAAAAATAATAAAATGAATAAATGGAAGGTTTATAAAAAAACTTATAAAATAATTTGTTGTAATTTAATCAAGCAATTGAGTAATTAAATTAGGAATTAGATGAAGAAAAAAATAATACATAATTACTATTAAATAAGGAATATAATTATAAATAATAAATTTAATAATTAAATAAACAAGTGAAAGAGTTGGAATATTAGAATGAATAATTAATTTAAGAAATCCAAAACATTTAAGATCAAATTTCATCTTATGAATCTGAATTATAAAATATTGATCTTGAAAGAAAGAAGAAATAATAATAAATAGAAAATTTGGAAAAAAAATACAAAAATGCAATTGATGAATTATAAATTAAAGATGATGAATTGAATGAATTAACTACAAATCATTATAATGAATTAGAACAACAAAAGTCTGATTATATAAGATAATTTGAATAGTAGAGAAGAGAAGTGTAAAAATTAGTGAATTCAATTTAAGATAAAGAAATTTAGAATTAATAATATCAAGATTAGCTTATAAAATTAGAATCTGAAAACAGTAAGTTGAGAAATTAAATTTAATTTTTGCAAATAGAAAATAATGAGATGGAGTAGTAAATAAGAAAATAATAGGTTTAATTTTAGAGCAATATTGATAAACTAGCAGATTAGGAAGTTTAAAGAAATTCTTTAATAGAAAGACATTCATAAATGAATTATTGAATATATGTTTGAATATTTCATTATTTTTATTCTCTTGCCTTTTCTTATTTAATTTTATTTTAAATTTCAACCCAGTCGTATTTTTTGATCTATATAAATATTTAAGAAATTAAATTACATCAGAAGCAAGTTTTTCAAATCTAGGTATAGTTTCTTATTAGCCTGTTTATTCAAGATATTTTTGCCTATAAGCAAGCAATGTATCTTGATGAGTATTATATTGAATAGCTAAATCAAGAGCTCTTTCCCATCTAAAAGAAGGATAGAATAAATATATTACTTATATAATTTGATATTCATTTTAATAGCTCTATAATATAATTTAGCTTAAGTATATATGTTTTCAGCTTCTTAAGGTCTTTTAAAGAATAAGGCTAAAAGAGCACTTTTTGCTTTTTCTGATTCAACATTGATAATTTTTTAAATAAAGAGAACTTTATCAGCAGCTTCAATTGCAGCTAAGGCAATTTCAGCTGTGCTTAATTCTTTAAATTAAAGAGAAAGTCCTGCTAGAGCAGCCCAAAGAGTATGTTCTTTGACATATCTACATAATTTAATAGCTTTTTCCCATTTTCCCCTTTCACAAGCCTCAAAGAGTAGTGCAGGATAAGGTGAAACACTTTATGTCATTATGGCTCCATCTTTTCTACGAATTTAAACCATAGTGTCTTAAAATGATAAAATTTATGAATTTCTAGTTAGATCAGTACTTTCTTTGCTGACTTTGACTTATTCTAATAAATCTCTATCAACATAGACTGATGTTGGATAATACCAAACAACAAACCTTTAATCAGATATGGCACATAACATATCAAATTTTTCATTCCATAAAAATGAATCTGTCATGGCAGCTAATTTAACTATATCTTTTTTATGAACAGGAGTAATATGTAAATCTCTATTTTAATCAACGAAAGCTAATTTTCTTTCTCCAATCATTTCTGTTTGATTTAAATTAATTTCAAGAATTTCTAAAGAATGTTCAACTGTAAAATTTAAAGCTTTTCCTGAATTCATTTCATAAAATTTGACTACTTTATTATTTCCTCCATCAACCAATGCTAATAAATCATTAGAGATTGCTATCTTTTTATGAGATAAATGTTCAACTAAGAATGAATGGAATTATTACATTTGGTTCCTTATATTTTTGGATTGCTAATCAATTTGCCTTCATAATTATATATCATGATTCCTGAACTTACTTCAACTAAACAAAAATAATTGGAACATTAACAAATTTAACTAACTGAATCTCTAATATCAAAAATATAAGGAGTATTCCAATTTCTAAAAGAATAGATATAACAATGTGAACTAGTAGTAATAATAAGATTATTATATTTCATAGACATATTAATTACTCTTTCTTTAAAATCAAATTCACTATTCATTTCATCAATTAAATCAATAATTTAGATTCTAAAATAATAAAATAATATACTTATTGTCTTCTGTTAAAATGATTTCCCACTTATCATAAGTAATACATCTTTCAACAACATGTCCAAAAATAACACTACCATTTCCAGCTGCTCCTGCACAAATAGTTCCATCACTTGTCCAAGCAATATTTAAAATGCTACCTTAATTAGTCTTATGAAATGAATATGTCCATCCTGTCTTATCACATAATCTCAACATATCATATGCACCTACAGCAAAGTAATCTCCATTTGGACTCCAAGCAACTGATGTTATTACATAATCATATGGAGCTGATGCAAACAATAATCTTCCATAAGTATCAAACACTTTGTATTTACAATCCTCTCCACAAGATAATATTAAATTATTTGTATGATTCCAATCTACTTTTACTACCAAACCATCATGAGCCTTCCATTAAACCTATTTTTATCCTGCTTATAATGGTTTTATGTATATCATTTTATCTGAACAATATAATATTGCGTCATTATCTGGACTCCATACAATACAATAAATTGGTTTATCTATCTACACTAAATTTGATCTAATTATTCCTGTTTTACTCCATATTTTTAAAGCACCATCTTCACCACAAGTTGCTAATGATCCATCTACACTCCATTTCAAACTTATTATCTATTCATATTATTTATCTAATTACAGCTCCTTTATGTGCTTCCTTTTCTTTCTTCTCTATTTTACCTGTCTTTTATTATAATATAAATGAGCCATCACTAAATGCTATAGCTACTAAATCTGTCGATCCTCTCTGTCCTTATAAGAAATCAAAATCTGTTCCATATCCCTCTAAATCTACAAATTTCGATGACTTTATTTTACTATATTATTTACCTCTAATGAATTAGGATCCCATTTCAAAATTGTATAATCATCACTCAAACTAAAATCATTATAATTTACATCATACCTATATGCTTCATTGTTCAATCCCCATTTTACAGATGTACAAATATCTGCATGCTTTGTATTCTCATTTACTTTTATTTTGAATCTCATTTAATATATAAATTATCAATTATTTCATGTAACTTATGTCCACCTTTTATATATATATTTTATCATATAAATCAATCATTATCTTCTTATCTCTTTTTTGGTGCTGCTAATCTCTTTGTGAATTCTAATTGCTTTATTGATTTCTCCTATTATATCACCTACTTAATTGGAGGTAATTTATATGGATATTTAATAGGTAATTATTATGATTTGTATTTTCTTAAAGTTTCCTAAAAATCTGGTGACAATTAAGCTTTATTTTAAACTGTTTTTGCTATATATGTATCTCTCCCTGTTCCATCAGAAAAATAAAACTATCTCTTCTCTATTGAACCTCCTTATCGCCCGTTATTTGGAGATCCATATGCCCCTCAAAATTAATTTACTACATACATGACTCTGCCATTCTGTTTACCAAAAATCTTTATTGTGCAGGATAAAATCCGCCATTATTGAAAAAAATGTAGGAATCTCGACCAGTTCCATCTTATGTATACAATTTTGGCATTTGATGAGTCATCAATATAAGATTTATGATTAAATTATGAGAATATATAAATTAATATCATAAATTTTTACATAGCAAATTAAAAACACAAAAAATTCAATTTATTGTTTAAAATCTATAATTCATTTATACAGCATTTACATTTTATTTTAAAATTAAATGAATAGTATAATAATTAGGAATGATTCTCATATTTTTTTCTTCAGCTGAATTCGAATTAAGAAAATAACTTGATCAATAAAGAGTACTTGTAGTTGTTTTTATTTCATTCAGATGCCTTAGGTGTATTACTTCTTAAATTTTTGAATTATAAATATTTATGTAATAAATATGGTTTTAATAAATTTCTATCACATTTATTTTTGTTCTTATTTGAATTAATAATTATGTGGAGTAGTGGAACTGTCAAAGCTACTTTACACAATGAAGGAACTCCAGTTTTTGTCCCACGGTTCGAACTTAAAATCTAAATTCTCGGCATAGGGCTAAATATAATTGTAAAAGGTTAGGGAAATTTATTTACTTATAGGGATATTATCTAATGGGAGGTTATAATATCCATATTTTTCACTTAACCCAAAGAAAGCTCTTGAGATCTTATTAAATTACATCTAGGGAATATCTGAGTCTTCAATAACTATCATTTGGGCCTATGGTTTGTATGAATATTCAGTGATTTATTTTACTGATATTAATTATTAAGGCAGAAATTTAGCACTAAAGTTTTATGAGTTAAACTCTGATGCATCTGCAAAGGATTAATTATCTAAGGCATAGTTTTCCTCTGAAAATTAACTTTCCTCCTATTGTTAACTACTCACTACTTCACTAGATGAATCAATGGATTATTTGGGAATTTAAGAGTCTCTAAAAACTCGAACAAAATTTCTGGGACGTGGCCTATATGGTTATTCCATATGCCAACCATGTGGAACTATAAAGGCACAGTCAGATTAAGGGGTCTATTCATCTAATTTTTAATTATCAAGGAAAGGTCCATAATTACTAGTCTAAAGTAGACTTATCCATTTTTTTTTAGAATTAATGATTTCACTAATGAATTGACTGCTAAAGTAGTCGAGGTGGATTCCATGGAAAAATCCATTATGAAAAAGAAATTAAATAGAATTGTTTTTTAATCTTTAGCTGCCAAAAACAGTGGCATATATATCCGGGAAGACAGAATAATGAATAACAATCGAACATTGATGTTTGGCCGCAAGATTTCTTAGGTTTTCCATTACATGTTTAGATTTAAGATCACTTCTTGCCATGAGGGATTTGCTTTCATAACTACTAATGGCACTAAAGGACTGGGTTACGAATCTATCAATAGATAATAAGGTAAAGAATAATCTTATTGATAGAAGCTTAAGGAAAGGGAATTATATCATGGGAAATGATAACCGGTTTTGATAATCTTAGATAGTGATCCCAGATAGGAGTCGATCTCATAATGCCAGACCTAGTAAATAAGTTGGTAATCTTAGAGTTTCCGTCGGCTTCTTTATACTTTTTATAAAGTTATTGGGCTAATTAAAAGTTCGAAGTAGTATTTTCTAGCTCTAATTATTGGGCAAACTCAGGGAACTCAATGGGGAAATCATTGGAATAGCTATCGAGGAGTATCTCTAATAAAGTTTAGTCTTTTAGCTGGTTAAAGTCAGTCACTCCCCAATTTGGCTTACGCTATCTATTTTAGTTCGAAAAAGCGCTCATAATTTAAAATTTAAAAATAATAATTTAAATTATCTGTATATTTATCTATTAATAAATAGCTTGATTTAATATTTAATTTTATAAATTTATTGAAACATGCATGGATTGAAAAATAGATAAAAATGCGAAATTGGAAAATTTTTAATTTTAATATTTTTTCCTATAAAAATTCGATAATAATTTAGTTTATGATCAAATTTTAAATGAAATATGGATTTTATAATCAATTTTTCAATATTAAGATTTGAATATTTTATTAGATTTAGTATTCCTTAATTTCAGAAAGACATTAGAAAATTTTGATATAAAAATATAGAAATTATTAAATAATTTATCAATAAATCAAGCATGATCTTAAGCAATAATTTGTAAGTTTTCAAAGTTTTTTTTCTTTTAAGTATTCAATATAATTAATTCCAAAATAATTTCGATTCCTAGCAAGAACAAATATGTATATGTCCATATTTCATTTGGATTAAAAAAAAATAGAGATGTAATATCAAAGGAAATAAATAGTATTAATTAGAGTATATCAAAATAAAAATTAGTTGTTTAGATAAACCTAATAATCCAAATTGCAATTAATGAAAACAAACTTGCTAATGCAAAATGGAAATTACTAAATAACATGCATCCTTAAAATCCTTGCAATACTAGTAATCTATTAATTAATTTAAAAATTGTTCTTGAATGTAAGAATTCTGTTCTCTTTTCATCTGTTTCTGCTATTGTTAATAAATTGGCATCTTAAACTCTTACTGTATCTGGCACTTCTTGCATTGTAGGTGTTGATTATAATTTTTTTTTTCTTTAAGAAATATCTATTTTTTAAATATTAGGATTGACTTTGAGAATCTAATATTTAGATGAAAAAACATTTGATGAAGTTTTACCAGATTACAATTAACTCTTTAGATCAGATTAATTAAAAGTTTAAACTGATTGAATTCCATGAAGATTAATTTGATCCCTAAAATTTTTTTTTAGTCCTTGTTCAATAGATTAAGAATTTTGTAATTATATATGAGATTATTCAGCAGCAGGAACCACTTTATTTTATTTCTAGCCAATTATCTCATTTTATGATTTTCTAAAGTAGAGTAAATAGAGCATTAGTATTTAAAGTATAAAAAGTAGGATTGCAAAGACTAAATGATAAATAAACATCTTTGAGATGATATTTATTTGGCTATTTTATTTTAAATTGTTTATAATTGTATTTCTAATATAAATTTCTATAACGAACAATACAGTAAAAGAGAGCTAAAAAAATTGAAAGACTATAATTTAAATTTAATGAATGCTCAAAAAATAAAGAAAATGCATCATAATAATTCACTTTAATCTATTCAAAGGGATTTTATGATAATACATAATATGATAAAACATATGATTATATTGCATATTGTTAAAGATTGGCATCCGACTGATTCTTCTGAGAAATTAGATTGAATATTTGAAATGTATTGTTTGAAATTTTCAAATTTAAATTCTCCCTTCTGATTTTAATCTTCTTTATACTCAACATTATTATTATAGTTTTGATTGCTTTATTGCTATTGAAAATATATCTGCATATTAACATAAGGAGCAAATTAGTTCTGATTATTTTCATAATTATTTTAAGTGAGATCTTTTAATTCTTATTCTTAAGGATAATTTTTGTATGCACTCATTATTAATAACTAAAAATTATTATTATTAATAAAATGATTACACTAATAGAAGTTAAAAATGAAATATTATTTTTACTTCCAGACTAATCTTGAAATAAATCTTAATGGCAATCTTACTAATTCATAGTTTAAATTTCAAAAATAATGGTATAAATGAAAATGATAAAATTTATGATTGGGTAGGAATAGCTGAAGTATGAAATTAATTAGACGATAGTATTCTAATCTTTTTATTTAAAGTGATAGAGAATAATGTCAATTCAAATTTATAAGACTATGAGATTAAGATGACACTATATCACATTATGCTGTTAATTTAGGAAGAAATGATAAGATATAATCATATAAATTTCTAAATTTCTTAATTATATTTTGACAATCAAGATTAAATATTTAAATCAAATATTACTAGTGCTTATAAATAATCAATTTATCAAAAATTTTAGAACTTTAAAATTTATTATGGAATCTAACCAGAAACTAACCATTTTCAGTAGGGAACCAAGACATTAACCTTTTTGGTAGAACTCCTTTTGATAATAGAGGAAAAATTGGTGGAAATTTGATGAAACCTTATAGCATTTATAGAACTATTATTAAAGATAAAATTAGCTGTGATAATTTAACCTATACGCTCCACTAGGTGCAAGGTTTAATCTATTTAGTCTTGATCCAGATATTACTCTATTTTGAAAACCTATTAATAAAAATCATGGTTAGATCCCTTTTTATAAATTTATTCGATAATTTTATTTATTGTTAATCATCCTCAATTTATGCTATCTCTATTCAATCTTAGCTTTTTATAAATGCTATAGTTTTTCTTTAGTAAATTAAATTAATCTAGACAATATATGCCTGATTTCATTATTTATCTGATCTTATTATTTTTGATTAAGAAGATACATCTTTAAAAGAATCTATTTTTTTATCATAAAGCAAACCTAATATGAAAACTAGAATTTAATTCATCTACAACATTATCGAGAGATATTTGATTTTATAAATTAAGAATCAAAATAAGTTACATCAGCTTCATTTTATAAAGTTGATAAGTTGATAAAAATCTGGATACTTCTTTCCTGTTTTCTGTTTAATAATGACATCAAATTCAATATATAAACCATTAATGTACTTTGATATTAGAATTTAATCTATTTTTAAGATTTTTTTCTAATAATCTTAAATAAGATCTTAGAGTTTCAAAGCAAAATGATTTATATTAGGCTTAGAATTTAAAATAAATTTTTCTAAATCTTAATCATTGGATGCTAAATCTTTTTGTTTAATCGAAATAGTGGGGCCAATATACACTGGTCCGAATATGGATGAAACTTCTGAAACATTAATGAAATGATCCTTCTTGCATACTTGTATAAATCACAGTCTGTAAATTTCATATTTTTGCATGGGGTATCGCCCATGGGAGAGAAATGCATTATCTCTTTAGAAGCTAAAGCACTTTAGAACATACATGAGATATGTTTTTGATTTTTATTTTAGAGATATGTTTCATGCAGCTTAAATCATTCTAGCATAGGAATATCTTCATATTAAAGGCATAATGTATAGAGGACTAAAATAATATATAAATTAGCCTAAAGCCAAACAACATAATGATAAATTAGGATAGATATGCAAATGACCGACACTTTGGAATGAATAAATATAATTTTATTATATTTAGGCTTAAAATTTCAATCTTAATATAATAAGGCATTATATTGGGAAACTTTGTAGTAAAATTCAATTTGTTTAAATTTTAAGAATTGTCCAAATTATTATATACTATCTAAATGTTATTAATATTCGAGAATTTAGACAATATTCAAAGTTATGTTTTTAAAATTCAAAAACCACTCATAAAAATCCCCCTTTGATTTGAAATTTAAATTAATATTTCCAATCTATTTTTCATATCCTCTCACTCTATTTATTTTTGGTGATCTTTTCAAGAATTATATTTCGAATTAATTTAAGTTATTATTTCAGTGAAAGACTTTGTGAAAGAGGATGATAATAATTTTTGGAAATATTAATTTAAGATGAAATTATTGCCATTAAGTTTAAATCATTCATTAAAGCAAATTAATTTCCAAAAATAATTTAAATTATTTTTGAAAACTATTTTGAAATTTTATTTATCTAAAATCAGGTACAAATTAATTCTCCATCTACTTGCATAATTAAATCTTTATCTGATAAATCTTCTTAAAATAAGTTAGCATAATTATAATACCTTTTTTATCTTTTATTGTTTGATCTTAATATCCAAACTATTTTAGATAAAATTTTATGATTAGAAAACCCACTTGTATTGCAAATAATTCTTTTCTATGGATTCTTTTAAATGTAGTTTATATTAAGAGTTTATTTTTCTATTAATGGTAAAAAGAGTTCTTCCAAAATTATACAATTGATCTGATTGATGTTGCTGTCAAAATTAATTAAATTAACATTTATCAAAGTTTCAAAAAAAATAAATCCATAAATTGTTTTGAATATTATTTAAAGAAATAATATTATTTAATGTTTAAGATAGATAAATAATCATTATTATTTCCTTAATTTTGTCTTTTTTTGAAAAAATAATACCATATTCTTTTATCATCATTCTTATTTTCTTTGAGAGATAATTCATCTCATTATTTTTTTTTATTGTAGATTTATTGAATTATTTCTTCGAATTAATTCCAATATTCCAAATGATCCTAATCTACTATTAATTTGTTGATTGGTAATATTATTGGAAGTAAAATTTTAAAGAATCAATATTAAGCGCTTTTTTGTTTGACATCATAAATTTCAATTTAGCATTCTTTCTTTGATTTTAATTATTCATTTAATTTGATGTTATATGGTTTACTTTATAATTATATGGTTTTTAAGCTTATTGCAATATAATAGATTCACACCCTCTAAGAAAATTGAATGATGTTGGTTTTCAGTTGCCAGTTGCCATCTCTAAATCTTAAGAGAATATATTTCAAAAATTTCCACATTTCTTCTTTTTTTTTGCCTATAACATTCAAATGTAAAATCAATTTTAAAAATTTTTATTCTTTTAAATTTAACATCAAATTATTGTTATAAAAATCTAAATATAAAAAATTTTATTCTATTTAGTAACATAATAATACAATTTATATATGAATGAATGTTAATTAAAAATAATATTAATGTATAGTTAAGCAAATAATGATTCGTAATTTTAAGCAAATAATGATTCTGAATTACTTAGGGTTATTGATAGAATAAATGACTTATTAAGTATATTTGAGGAACAACAAAAAAATCAAAAAAGATTTTAAGTAACAATGCTTGTTGGAGCCACAGGAAATGGAAAAAGCACAATTTTTAATTTCTTATCATCCTTTGAATTATAAACTCAAAAAGAAGGAAAATAGTCAAAATTAATCCTAAAAAAATCAATTTTAAAACAGATAAATAAATTAGATATTTATGAATAATCAACAGATAAAACAATTTGATTCTTCTTTTTTTTTTTATGCATTTTATTCCCTTTCCCATGCTAATTATGCTCTTACTTATTGTAATTCTTATTCTTTTTATCCTAATAGTTTTTTCATTAATTCATTCTATTCCTTGATTTCGTTATTCATTTTTTCATTCATTTCTTTGAATAGTTATAATAATTACTATAGATTATTGTCTTAAGCCTTTTTCTATATATCATCTAATTTTTATTTCAGAATTTATTCATGAGTTACTAATAAATTTTTTACCTAATTAATACTATCTTTTAAAATTGCTCTTGTGTCTATAATGTCCTCTTCTTATGAAAAAAACCTAAAAATCTTTAAGAAAACATTGATCTAATCTTAAAAGTTCAAATTAAGTTTCAATAGTTTTGCTATTTTGATATTTATTTCTATTAATTTATTGTACCAATTATTTATAGCTTGATTACCACCTATATTTATAAGGAGTTTAATTTCAATAAAATATTCTAGAAGAGTTTTCAATTTTAAGATGTTTATGTACTTAATTTTCTCATCTAAGGCCATACATATTTCACTTATAATTTAATTTGTAAATTAATTACATCTTAAGTTTATGAAATTTGCTATCTCACCATTTTTCTAAAATTATGCCGTTTTAAACTTGATTGAATCGGATTTTTCAATAATGCTCCAAATTTCTTCCATTTTTTTTTAGCTAAGATACTCTTGAACATCTTCATCGGATTTGACTTTTCTTATAACAATTATTCTTTTATTTGGTTATTTAACTTTTGATTTTAATTGATTTTATATAGATGCTATTAATTCATTGTCTTCTAATTATTCCATGTAACAATTTAGTAATAATATTATCTTTTGAAATTCCTTAGTTGAATTTTAAGCAAAACAATTGTTAATAAAATTCCATAGCTCCCCTCCTCTACCATATAAATCATCATCACTTTGTTTAATGACATAAATTATTTTGATCTAGGTTTTGATAACTATTCTATTAAATAGAATTTAAATTATTCTTTGTTACATGACACCTTCAGTATCCTGAAAACCTGGGAAATCAATCAATAAATGATTATTTTCTTTTTTAAAGTAATAGTAAGGTTCCTTGGTTATAGATTTAATGCCCGCTTTCATAGGGGATGTTCCAGCTTCTTCTGGATTTTTTAGGATTAATTTTGACTATTTTCCTTCTTTTTGAGTTTATAATTCAAAGGATGATAAGAAATTAAAAATTGTGCTTTTTCCATTTCCTGTGGCTCCAACAAGCATTGTTACTTAAAATCTTTTTTGATTTTTTTGTTGTTCCTCAAATATACTTAATAAGTCATTTATTCTATCAATAACCCTAAGTAATTCAGAATCATTATTTGCTTAAAATTACGAATCATTATTTGCTTAACTATACATTAATATTATTTTTAATTAACATTCATTCATATATAAATTGTATTATTATGTTACTAAATAGAATAAAATTTTTTATATAATTATAGCAGATTTTGATTAATATTTTCTGCTATTCAAAGCTAAAATCATAAATTTTCGATTCATCATTAGTTTAAAATTGTAAGATAACCAAAATAAATAAAAGTATCAAGAAACTGAAAAATGAAATTTAATTGAGTAATTATCTTAGTCATTAATATATATTTCTTTTAAAGTATCACTTATTCAAATATTAAATTAAAATCTCTACAGAAAAAGTCAATCTTAGAAAATAGAAATTTACAATTTAACTTTTAATCAATTAAGATCGATTTTTATAAATAAGTTCAATAAAATAGAAGTTTAAAGAATTTGATGAAATATTGAAATTTTGAAGCAAAAAAGAGAATTATAAATATGTTTTGATCCTGACTCATTGATAGATAATAATGATAAAGATTTTTCATTTTTATTATTCAGTTTGATATTGATATTAGTACACAAGATGAAATTCTATGATTTAAATACTAGTGTTTTACTATCACAAATCTAACATCAAGATAATTTTATGTAAAACCAATAATTTTAAAATATTCTAAAATGTAGAGATGAAAATACTTTCTTTAAAGATTTAAATTTTTTACTAAACAAATATGATTTTAGATAGAGATATTAATGGAATAAGAACTAGTATTATATTTTTTAAGTTAATATTCTATAAATTATGGAACTTCAAATTGTAAGTTAAGGGTTTAAGGTTTGAATCAATCATCAAAAACTTTTGGAATAACTTTAATTAATTCTAAATTTATAAAGTTAGTTCCACTTTTACATTAAAATGTTTATTTGATTTATTCATGATGCCATAGATAATCAGGACCTCCAATAATATAAATCTGTCAATCTTTAATCTATGGTATTAATTAAAATATAATCATTAGGAATTCTCATTTTTGTTAATGCTCAAATAAAGTTGCAAATAAATTTTACATGTGTAGAGTGTAGATAATATATAACAACCTATTTGAGATAAAATTATAATGTATGAAACTTGCTTGACTCAAGAAATCTCCACAAAATAAGGTTAAGGTATTTGGTAATTTTATTTAAGTTAATTCGTAACTTATAAAAAATTTAGCAGCACTTCTTTTAGGCTCATGCAATTATGCTTTACTTGATTCCATAAGAAATTAATAATAATACTACTATTATTACATTCCAGTGGTGATCCAATAAATAACTACGTATTAATTATTTATTTACCATCAGAACAATATTATATTCCAATGAAAGATTAATAAAAGTAAAAATTTATATAAAGGAATGATTTATTGATCTTCATTTTTTAATTGTTCAGCTATTAAATTAGTTACTTCTTAATTTGGAGCTATCTTTTATTTATCATCACTAATTTTTTCTTCTTCTTTATTTTTTCAAACTTTATGATATAGTTTTGGAATAAAAATAGAAAAAAAACCATTAGGATTGAAATCAAAAAGATATCTGGTAAAATTTAATGCAAAATATTTCCAAAAGCTCTTCCAAATAAGGCAATTGGTAATAATATTAATGATAGTTCATAGTCAATACTCTTAGATTATGAAAAATTCAAACCACCTCCTAAACCTCCTTCTGTTGATAAACCCAATATGACTATTATTAAAAGATATCCGAAACTATTAAAAAGAAGTCAAAGGGAATAAATCATCATGAACACAATGGCCATCTTTTAAATGATAGAGATATTCACATGTAATTGATTCTAAATGATTATATATTTTATTTATTTAATAATATTTCATAATTATTTAAATGGTATCATCTAACTGATCAAGACAAAAAGACAACTACCAAAATATTGGAATCCTCATTAGCAATTTATATAAAAATTATCTCAATTCTTTAAAAGAAGAAGAATCTATAAAAGATGATAAATTAATAGAAATTCCTTAAATTATTTAAAAGGATAATTTATAAATATTATAATATAGTTCATGCTTGATTGATCAAATTTTAAGATAATAATTAAATTTTCATCCAGTAATTTAAATTCAGTGTTAATGCAATATTTTATAAATTTTATTTTAATTAGATATTTCATTTAAGATGTCTAAATCAAAATAGTGAAATTAGTTCTCAAATAAATTAGACATAAAAAATAATTTATGATACATTAGACAGAAATAATAATTTTATTCCAAGACAAACTACTTCTGAAGAATTTAATTTAAAGGAAATTTCTGAAAATTAATGATAAGATTAATTAGAATAAAAAAAATAGAAATACATAATCTTAAAATGAATAATGATTGATAGTTCTAATAATTTAAAAATATTTAAAAGTGTTCATTTAACACTAAATTGAAATAGCATAAAAGATCAAAATAATGATGATTATGATTATTGGATTATTTTTATTTAATTGTAATTTAATAATGCTTAACCCAGCTTCAAAATCTCATTCTCCTCCTCCACCCTCTACTGAAGTAATTCTTTATTGTACCATCAGGAAAGAGATAATTCTATTAGACATCAGGCCCTTTGAAAGGAATTTTAAAAAATAAATCGTTCTATGGAGATAATTAAGATAGAAATTCATTTTAAGGAGATAAGAATGTGGAAGAGGAATTAATAGATCAATCGTTTTTATCGTAAGGATCTTTTCATGCTCAAAAGTAAATTGAAATATAACATAGAAATTCAAATAAATAGGCTGGTGAGAAGTAATTAAATATAATTAAATAATCATCTAACAAATTTGGGAGATTGAATAGTGTATGGAGAAACAAGTCTTTAAATATAATATATTATATATCAAAATTTGCTAGATAATTGAAAAATAGTGCTAATAAAATAAAATTTAAACTATTAACAAGAAGAATATTGGATCTGATAAGAGATTTAGGATCAGACTCTGATGAATTGTTAAGGCAAAGAGATAATTAATATAATAAAAAAACTGTTTAAACAATTAAATGCTTTAATAAAGTATTGAATAAAATTTAATATTTGCCAATCATTGAGCCAGATTCTATAATAAAATTAACATGGGATGTCATAGTCTTATTGGCTATTGTTATAAACATTATATATATACCTTTAGAATTAAGTTTTTCTGTTGATATGGATTTAACTACTTAGTTATGTTTAAATACATTTCCATCATGGTTATTTGTTGTTGATATATTTGTAACATTACAGACAGCTTATTATGCTAAAGGTATAATACATAGAAATCAAATTGAAATCTTTAAAAATTATCTTAAAGGAGGAACATTAATACTTGATATCATTATAGTAATTCCAATATTGTTATCATCTTTAAATTTTTAATTTTTTAAATATGCTTTATTATTAAGGATTTTTAGATTACCAAAAATAGCAAGCAATATAGAAGAGATAATAAATCCAAATTAATAAGTAAAGGCAGTGATTTCTTTAATAAAATTGATTTATTTTATTTTAATAACATGTCATTTTTGTGCATGTATATGGGCTTTTTTAGGTGAAACTTAAATCTAATATGGAGAGCATTCTTGGATATTACATTATCAAATTGAAGATTCAAATTGGAGAATTAAATATGTTTATTCGTTTTATTATTCAGCTATAACTACATTAACAATTGGATATGGAGATATAACTCCTTAAACAATTCCTGAGAAAATATATACGATTTTTCTAGCTTTGTTAGTTTGTGGTGTATTAGGATATAGTGTTTCTACTGTTGGAGAGATAATTAAGTAGTTGCAAGAGAAAAATTAACTATTTAAGGAAAAAATGTCTTTAGTTACTAATTATGTCAAAAGTAGAAAGCTAAATAAATAATTGTAATTATAAGTAAGGAAATATTTTGAACATTATTTTAAATTAGAACAAAGATCCTAAATTGAAGCTGAAGAATTAATGTAGAAATTAACTGTTGAATTAAAATAGAAAGTTAAATTTGATTTATACTCTTCTATATTAAAATAATCAAAAGTAATATCTCACTTGTGTGATTCATGTTTATAGAAATTATGTTTGGTTGCACATGAAAAAAAATATGCACCTGAAGAAATTATTTGGAAATAAAACGAATAAGCATCCAAATTAATATTTTTAGTCAAAGGAAAACTTGACTTAATGGCTAATGATATTGTATTGAAAAGTTGGAAAAAGGGAGTTATTGGAGAAAGAGAATTTGCTTCATAAACAACATATATTACTTATTTAAAAGCATATAAATTTTCATAAGTTATTTACATTGAATATTCAGATCTATAACATATACTGGGTGATCATTAAGAAGATTTAGAAAAAATAAAAATGTTATAAGATAATCTTATATTTAATGAAAATTATAAAAACTTTGGAAATGTTTGTGAAGTCTGTGAATGGACTCATTCTATTGAGAAATGTCCATATGTATTTATTAGAGTTAATAAAACTAAAATTATGAATAAATTTAAAGAAACAAAAGAATAAAATAGATTATATACAGATAGAAATATTTTTAGATATACTTCAAGAAAAAAGATTAGTGACATTTAAGAATGTGCATTAGCTATGATAATTAATGAAAAATTTATCCATTAATTAGATATTACTGATGCATATTTACAATAATTAGGATTTGCATTAGATGTAGATGAATAGTTGAATGGAAGTGGTTAAAAATAAAATACATAAAGAGAATAAACTATTCATAATGATACTTTCACTGTTAAAAGCAATACAAATAGAGATAATATTAGAAAATAAAGTGATAGCTTTTCAAATGATGTATTAACATATAGTAGTTAATTACCCCCAATTGTTCCTCATTAATCAATCCCTTCACCATAAATCTCTTAAAAATTAACCATTAATAGAAAAAAGGATAATTAACCAAATGTTAATAAATAAAATGATAGTACTACTATATTAAGAAAACTAAAGAGAGAGAACTCTTAAAATATTGAAAAAAGAATTCAATTTATGCAGTCTTAATTAAATGAATCAAAAGAATTAAGAAAAAATTCTAAACTAGATAGTTGGAGAAGTATTGAATAAAATCTTGCAATCTAATCCTATAAAAAAATATCCTACACAAGTTAAGCTAGTGTTAGTTTGTACAAATAGAAAAGTTTATAAAAGTAGATCAGTGTAGTTGCAGCTAGTCCAAGAATAAAGAAAAATTCTTCAAGTTTTGTAGGTACTTTAAATTCCAGAACATCTAAAGCTTAATATATTAATTCTAATGAAAATGAGGATATGGTTATCATCATGGAAGAAGCAGAAGAAAAAACACTTGAATATTGTGATTTTGATCTTGATAAGTAATACATAATGACAATTTATTTTCCCATTTTTAATTATGATGGAATAATTAAAAAGATTCAACTTTAGTATCAATAAAAGTAAATATCTTTAAAAGCAAGTTTGAAAAAATCAAAAACATTACAAAGATTAATGAATGATGAATGATTTTATTTGACTTTTTTATTCAATCTATATTCATTTTTCCATTATTTAGATTCATTTGTTAGGAAACACTTAAAAAATTAACAATTGATTTTACTCAAATTTAGAGCCAGGGATCAATTGACATCAATTTTCCTTTGAAGATCCTCAAAAAACTTGCATAGATATTTGGAAGATTAAATATTGAAGACTCATGTATTAAAAAAATCAATAAATCTGAATCAAGACTAATTCATTTTAGACTTTAATATAATAAATGTATTAGAGTCTATTTTTATCTCACCTTTAACTGCGATCATAAACTAAATAAATTAAGAGTACAATAATAAAGAATAATCCTTAAAGTTAAAAGATCACTAGACTCTTTAATAATAATTTATTTGACAGTTCACCTTTTCATCACTCAAAAATAGTTAAAAGGCCTTATAGTTTATACCTCATTGCTTTCTTCCATCATCCACTCCTTATTAAATCCTATTGAAAAATTATGGAAATAGTTAAAGGATTGTAGAAATAAATAACCAGAAATTTTACAAATTGTGGTTCACAGATATATTTATGTAGAGCAGATGTTTGAAATAAAAAAAATTTGAAACAAATTTTGCCACAACAATCATTGTCTCTATTTATTTTTATTGTCATAGATAAAATTTATGCATTTTTATTTTTTTTAATAAAATAAATTAACCTTTATATCTTTTGTATCTGTTCAAACCACATTTTTTGGTTATTAAAATGATCTATAATTTATTAAATAAATAAAAAATATTCAGTTTTTCTGGAAAATAGATGTTTAGTAAAATGTTATCAAAATATTATTATAAAGTAGTAAAAGTAAAAATATATCCTTATAAAGATTTTGAATTTATACATTCAAAGATTTGAGAGACTTAATAAATATGAAAAAAAATAAATTAGAGAATAACTGATTAATTCTAATAATGTTACTTGAAGTGAAGTTAATCCTAAAGGACTTACTTAGAATTATTATGAAAAATAAATATAATCTATAGTTTTAGTTGTAATTATTGTAAGATAAATTGTTATTCAAATCAATTAACAGCTTTGAGGTTTTTATACAGCATAATTGAAGATTTTCTGATTTATTTAATTTTTTTATATCTCTAAGCTATTCACCTTTTCTATTTATTATGTAATAAGAATGAACGTTTAAGCTATCGAAGGATTAGATTTTAGTATTTCTTAGTATAGCTAGGTTTAATCTATTTGAATTTACTTATTTAATTAATTAATTATTAATTATGTCGTTTTTATTTAAGTTGAATATATATGCAATTATTCATGGTATTTAGGAGTATATGGAAAATTTTCTGATGGATCGATATTATTTTCTTATCCGTTCAAAAGAATAAGATTTTGTAATTAAGGTTGTGAAAAATTTAATAAAAGTTGTTACTTTTAAGAATTTTTATTTGTATTTTTATTTTGCTCAAATTAAAACAATTATAATTTTAGTCTTACATTTTAAAGCATTTCTTAGCAAGAATTAAGAATTAGTTTAATTATTTTATCAACAATTTGAGATGCAGTAATTACATTTGAAAAATGTAAAACTAAATAGCGAAACTTTTGAAAATCATATTGAATAAATTGATCAGAAGTAGATGAGATATGTTTTATGATAATGCTGGATGTTGTTAAAAATTCGTCAAACCAAAATTATAAATTTTTTCCTTAATTTCTTACAGATAGTGACAAATTTTCAAATTATTATTAAAGAGTCTAGAGATCATTTAACTTTAAGGATTATTCATTATTATTGTACTCTTAATTTATTTAGTTTATGATCGCAGTAAAAGGTTAGATAAAAATAGACTCTAATATATTTATTATATTAAAGTCTAAAGTGAATTAGTCTTGATTCAGATTTATAGATTTTTTCGATACAAGAGTATTCAAAATCTAAATTCTATAATTGTTAGTAAAATATTTCTCAAGATCTCCTTGCAATTTTATTTTCCTAAAAACAAATAAGTCTTAATCATTTTTTCCACATATTTATTTTAACTCTCCTTATACACTTTCGATCAATTCTTCATCTGATAACTATTCTTAGTATAAATTTAATATAATAGTTAATTCTTCGAAAATTGTGCACCTTTATCCAAAATACTTCTTTATAAAACTTTACAATTCACATCCTCTTGACTAAAGTTCAGTTTCTGGATGCTTTTCTATATAAACAATCTTTATTTAATATTAATTATTTATCAATCTTAGAAAAAATTCCTCCCAAACTAAACTATGCATCACATTTTTTAAATCAACAAAATTTGAAAAAGTTAATAATAAGTGATTTATTGGTTGAATATAAGAAAAATTGAGCTCAGATGGGTTATCAATATAATTGGAATTATTATTGTAATTCAAATCTGAAGATTAATCTTGAATTACTTCTAATTTAGGGTATTTTGAATTATTGTTTGATAGTTAAAATTTGGATCCTTTGAGGAAATCGAATAAAGTTGTTTTTCCACATCTAGCAGATCCTAATAAAATTACTATTACAGGTTAATTGTTTTAGATTTATTTTTAAAATGTTTTCCAAAGATTGTCTATTTTATTTGCTTACATTTACACTTCTTCCAATTATAAATTAACATTCACGTTCATTTTGTTATATATTATATTATTTGAAAATCAACTATTTATGTCACACTTTTCATTTCTTCTTTATAAAATAATGTAATTCTATTAAGTTTTAATAGAATTACAATACTTTTTAGTTAGATTTTTTTAAAAGAGTATTTTTGTTAGAAATAATAAAAAAATGCATTAGGATTAAGGCATAAATAATGAAGAGTTTGTCAAAGTGATTGATAAGATAAATGAGTTGATAAAAAAATTTGAAGAATATAAAAAATAAAATTTGTAAGTAGTGATGCTAGTAGGAAATACTGGCAATGGAAAAAGCACTCTGTTTAATTTCTTATCAGGTTTTGACTTAGTGACCAAATAAGATAGTAAGAAAACAAGTTTGTAATTAAAAAACCCATAATAAGAAGGGACATCAATTATAAAAGGTGGACTTATATCTGTAATAAAGGAGCCTCAATATTATTTTTCTATCCATAACAGTCATTTATTAATTGATTTTCCAGGTTTCCATGATACAAAAGGATTTATGCAACAATCTTTAATATAAATTTTGTTTAATAGAATAGTTACTTAGACTTCAATAAAAATAGTTTATGTTGTTAAATAAAGTGATGATGAATTATCTGGAAGGGGTCGAGAATTGTAAAAATTTATTAGTTAATGTTTTGGGTAATAGAATTAAGATTTTACTTAAATAACTCTTCTCTTAAATTCTTATATGGGTGATTTAGAAGACGAAGAACTTGCATCATCAGTAAGACTGCAATTGTAAGAAATTTATGAAAAGCCAAATGAGAAAATAATTGTGGTAAGAAAAATCAAATCTGATTAAGAACTTAAAGAATATTTTAGCAAAGCTAAAAGAGATGAACTTTGGAAATCTATTGAAACATCCTATACAATCAAATTTAAACCAGCTTAATTTTAAAGGCATGGTGAAATAGCTACTTTTATAAATTCAAGATGTTTTTCATTTACTAATAAACTTGTTAGTGAGATATGCTAGTCATTAGATAAATAAATTGAAAAATTAGATAAAGAAAAAATGAAAACTCTTTTATTTCATTTCATGGAAATAGGTTTATTAATAGAAATGGATATGAACTAAAATGTATATGGATGGTATGAAAAGTTAATCAATATAAGTTAACAAATTACAGAACTACTTGGTTGTTAGAACAATATAAAGAAAGAAATTTCAACTTTCTTAAAGATTTTCAAATTTTTATCTTAAGAAGAAGATATAATAGAAACTAAAGTAGTTCTTAGAGAAAATTCAGAACTTATTAAAAATTAATTAATAACTTAAGAAAAGACAATAAGATATAAAATGACTGTAATAGAAAATGAGGCTAACGCTAGAAAGGACGAACCGTAAATGCTGGAATTTTTGTAAATATTACAATCAGCTATGATTTTAAAAGAATTGTAGAATAAAAATGAATTAGAAAAAAAAAGATAAGAAAGAGAAAGTCAAAAAAATTGTATAGTATTTTGAACGATATGACATAAAATTTTTTATAGAATTATATTTTTATAAAAACTTCAGAAATATTTATTTTAGGCGCTATTTTTAATTACAAACTTGTTTTCTTACTATCTTATTTGGTCACTAAGTCAAAACCTGATAAGAAATTAAANCCCATAATAAGAAGGGACATCAATTATAAAAGGTGGACTTATATCTGTAATAAAGGAGCCTCAATATTATTTTTCTATCCATAACAGTCATTTATTAATTGATTTTCCAGGTTTCCATGATACAAAAGGATTTATGCAACAATCTTTAATATAAATTTTGTTTAATAGAATAGTTACTTAGACTTCAATAAAAATAGTTTATGTTGTTAAATAAAGTGATGATGAATTATCTGGAAGGGGTCGAGAATTGTAAAAATTTATTAGTTAATGTTTTGGGTAATAGAATTAAGATTTTACTTAAATAACTCTTCTCTTAAATTCTTATATGGGTGATTTAGAAGACGAAGAACTTGCATCATCAGTAAGACTGCAATTGTAAGAAATTTATGAAAAGCCAAATGAGAAAATAATTGTGGTAAGAAAAATCAAATCTGATTAAGAACTTAAAGAATATTTTAGCAAAGCTAAAAGAGATGAACTTTGGAAATCTATTGAAACATCCTATACAATCAAATTTAAACCAGCTTAATTTTAAAGGCATGGTGAAATAGCTACTTTTATAAATTCAAGATGTTTTTCATTTACTAATAAACTTGTTAGTGAGATATGCTAGTCATTAGATAAATAAATTGAAAAATTAGATAAAGAAAAAATGAAAACTCTTTTATTTCATTTCATGGAAATAGGTTTATTAATAGAAATGGATATGAACTAAAATGTATATGGATGGTATGAAAAGTTAATCAATATAAGTTAACAAATTACAGAACTACTTGGTTGTTAGAACAATATAAAGAAAGAAATTTCAACTTTCTTAAAGATTTTCAAATTTTTATCTTAAGAAGAAGATATAATAGAAACTAAAGTAGTTCTTAGAGAAAATTCAGAACTTATTAAAAATTAATTAATAACTTAAGAAAAGACAATAAGATATAAAATGACTGTAATAGAAAATGAGGCTAACGCTAGAAAGGACGAACCGTAAATGCTGGAATTTTTGTAAATATTACAATCAGCTATGATTTTAAAAGAATTGTAGAATAAAAATGAATTAGAAAAAAAAAGATAAGAAAGAGAAAGTCAAAAAAATTGTATAGTATTTTGAACGATATGACATAAAATTTTTTATAGAATTATATTTTTATAAAAACTTCAGAAATATTTATTTTAGGCGCTATTTTTAATTACAAACTTGTTTTCTTACTATCTTATTTGGTCACTAAGTCAAAACCTGATAAGAAATTAAACAGAGTGCTTTTTCCATTGCCAGTATTTCCTACTAGCATCACTACTTACAAATTTTATTTTTTATATTCTTCAAATTTTTTTATCAACTCATTTATCTTATCAATCACTTTGACAAACTCTTCATTATTTATGCCTTAATCCTAATGCATTTTTTTATTATTTC